TGTAGAGCAGGCTTTGAGATCATGCAGTTGGATTTCATCCCTCATGGTTACATGCACACCATGCTAAATTACTACACAGTCACTTATTCATTTTCTTAACATGTGTCGATTCTGCTACATTGTACATAACAATGAACAGAATGGCAAGAAAAGTGTACTACATATAGGGTCATTAAATGTCACTTGTTATGCCCCTATCTATCTGTTGCCATATATGAGGTCAAGGAAAACTGATTTAATTCAGTTAGACATACGAATTCTGAACTAAGGCCTACTTTGGGCTTTGCACTAGCAGAACATGTGTCTATTGTGCAAGATGGGGACACTCAATTTTCACAAATCCCTTTTCCTGTTGCAGCTCTCTGCACCATAACACATAAAATTCTGGAGGGTCAGACAAACCTCAGAAGCAATTTTGTGATGGGTATCAGGCTGCAATGGATAGGCAAAGATTGAGAAAAATGAGGTGCCCTGTGTTGCTTTCTGTTTACTAGTGCAAAGCCATCACTGGAATACAACCTATTATATTTTACACTAAGGAGCCATAAGCCCACTTTTATCCTCTGTTACTATATCTTGATTATGTTGCACGTGTAACATATGTGCCCTTTGTTGTTGGTGCGTTGAACAAATGCCATACGAATTTTTCCAGAAAATCCTGAATCCATATGCCTTGATATAGTGTTGGTCCTATTGTAAACAACAGATGCTTTGCTTTCTTTTAGATGTGTTGCATCTAGATGTAGTCATAGTAGACCCATTGAAATCAATTAATCATGACAAAATGATTTTATATTGATTTCAATGGGTCTGCTCTGGATCCAGCCCAATATAAATCATGCAACACCTGGCAAATTGGAGTGATTAACATTTGAAAGGCACAATGCCTCCTCTTCAATAGCATTATTTGAGTTTGTGAACCTACATAGCACAGCTGATATAACATTTAAATACTGCTTACTAGAGTCTAAACTGCTGGCACAGTAAGGAAAAAAAATGGGGATCCACTTTAGTGAATACCCTAGTAAATAAGCACTGAAAACAAGCACACCCAATTAAAGCATCTTTGGCTGACCAGATAATCCACTCCTACTGCAGTGCACAAATTTGATTTACAGCACATTTCAAAATATTTATATTTTTTTCAGGGTTTCCATCATTGCCTCAGCCAGTACCCTGCTGTGTTTGAAAATGTCTGGACAGTAATTGTCATTGTTTGCAATGCTATTTTGGAAAATAGCAAGCATCATGGCATTTAACAGAGTCAGGAATGCAATTACCAATTTTGTATACATGATCCAAGTGAACTCCTTGCTTCAGAGGCTGAAAGCCTCCATGAAAAGAGTTTAACAGCAGCAAAATGTTTGTTTAATTTTTGTCTGTAGTTGGTTAGTAATAGGTGACTTATGCTATGGCCAAATTGCCAAAACACAATTAGTTTAACAATTCCTTATATGTACATACAAACACACAAATAAGCGCAGGATATTTCGGGATGGATATTGTGATCCATTTTTGTGCATAAGTATATATGGAAACTATCCAGAGGTAGAGATGATAGGTGGGTGCCCCTACAGCATCCAGAAAGCTGCAAGACTCTTCAGATGAGAGGCATAGAAAAGATCGTTCTTTGGAACAGCATTAAGAATAGTTTATTGTGGAAATGTAGTAACATATGAATGCACTTTATTACTATTACTCATATTACATTGCATATTCCACATTTTCCTCTTGAGAGGAACCCAAGGCAGCTTACACAGTCCTCTGCCCTCCACTGTATCCTCACAAGAACCGTATGAGGTCAGTTGGGCCGACGGTAAGTGACTGGCCCAAAAGTATCCAGCACATTTCAGGGCTGAGTGGAGACTAGAACCTGGATCTCTTAGAACTATGGTCATATACTCTGACTACCACATCACACTGGCTCTTCAAGTGCATGATTTATAGGCTTAGGAATCTGGAGTAGAACTAATACAAGCCCTGAACTGCAGCATGACCTTGCACTCTAGCCCTTTATAGGTGTTAAGACTAGAAGGAAGCTAAATGTGTGGTGGGAACAGCCTCTGCCACTGTGCTTATCTGGAGTCATGAACACTCAAAGCTCTACATGCAGAAGGCTCTACTCACCTTTTCAAAATGTTGAATTCCTAATCATATGGACATAACTACCTGTCCATGTAACTGTATGTAGGAGGGGATGAAGCTTTCCTTTGGTTTTCAAATTAACATATTTTTGCCAGGGTTAAATGTGCTTATTGATTCCACAAATGGAATCAACTAAGGGACTTCAACCTCAGCTGTGTCACCAGAAAAGACCAGCAGAATGAAAAGCAGCAGACATGGAGAAAGGGATTATGGGTTTGAAATAGGTGCCCTTCTAGTGCCTGAGCTCATCTTACTGTATGCTGACCAGTTGACTGGTTTCTTTTTGAGTCTCTTTAGCAAGCTTTTGGGAAATCCAGCCAGGTTTGCCATGACAAATCTGTGCTTCTCTGGCAGTGTGGCTATTAGTTTAGGGCTTCAGCCTGCTTCCTGGAATCCTGCTTTTCTTTCTGACCTGTTTCCCTGTCTGTCTCATATCCCACAGAACTAGGACTGTGTCCAACTGCCTGGGACTCTCTTGACTTATTTTATTTGCAGCACAAGGGATATACTGCTGCAAAGACCATTAGATGTGCATTAAGGCAGGAGCTAAAAAGAACTGCTTTAAAGCCGGGGTGGGCAACACTTGGCCTGTGGGCTGCTTAAAGCCCAGCCCCTCTCCTGAATAAACCTCCTTTCTTATATTCTACCATGGCTGCCTGGCCACAGTTTGTGGCAGCAGCAAAAAAATCACAGTTGTCTACTTTTACATGGAGATCATACTTTGGGGCACCAGGGAAGGAATATAGTAATATCCCTGAAGATGCTATGTTGCAGGTCCCAAGAGTCACCGTGCAGCATCCTTTTCAACATTGCCACACGGCATATTTTGTGGCATATGTTTAGAATGCTGTGGTACATGCATGTGGGTCCCAGTGAGTCCAGAACTGCTTTCCTCTATTATATGTAGGCAACAGTCTGGATTTTGTATACATGCTTACCTGTAACTTGTAGTCAGCTGCCCAAAGACCATCCTTATTTCTCTCTGATCCCCAAAGATGTCTCAACAGCTAAGAAAGGGAGAGCAAGCAGGAAGCTGCATGGGAACTGATGTAATTCCAATACTAACCATTGCCTGGCCATAACCAACACCTATGTTAGGGTCTGCTGCTACTTCAGGCTGCTGTGAGCTTACTTGGCAATGACCCATTTCCTGCTGCCCAAAATTCCACCCAAAATACATATTTTCTTGTGCTTTCTCCTTTCTTTTCCTTCCTTTCCTCACCTACCATCCCCCAAACACATTTATAAACTAGAAGAGCACACCAATTAAAAGATAGTTGGAAAACCAACCCTTGAGACATGTAATCAAGAATCAAGAATATTTTTATTTTATACTGATAATTTTAATTTTATTTTTGTAAATCAATGTATTTTTTGTATTTTTATATTTAATGGTAATTTATTATGTACTATTGTATTTCAATGTATTTTATCATGTTGTAAGCCGCCCCGAGGTTTTGGCAAGGGGCGGCATAGAAATGTTATAATAATAATAATAATAATAATAATAATAATAATAATAATAATAATACTAGCTTTTAAAAGCAAGTGCACAGAGCATTGTATTTGAAACTTCCTAGCACTGCGAGGATTAAGTTGACACTCAACAACATAATAACTTTACTAGTATTTGTTGACAGGAGAACACTTATGTGCTCACTGAATTTGATAATTGTCTACTGCTTATTCTGCATAAGAATCTGCATATGTGTGGATTAGAAGGTTCAAATTAGAATTATTTATTCAGTCGATCTAATGGTGTATCACAGTGGTTTAATAACGATTATATTATTTGTTAACTAAGGTGCCAGAAGGTAAAGGAAGGACCAGCCCCTTCCTGATGTCATGAGTATGTCTCTTTCCCTTCCCCTTTCCAGCAGTTTTTAAACAGAAGGTTTTTGAAACACAGTCCTTCATTTGAGCAAGACAGGGTTTTCATGATACAGAATGCTTCAGAGGAAGGTAATATAATGTCAATCAATGTAATATTCCCTTCAGTTTACCCATGTAAAAACTGATTCTAAGCTGAAACCCCCTCCCCACTTCCTTTTCCAAAAGGCTTGCCTCCACCCTCAGGGAGGTTCAACTGCTCATGGGCCAGACAGTGGGAATGCCAGACATTACATAATTGGGATGCTCATATAGCTTCATGCCAGCTCTCTGGGTTATTGAATTCACACCTTTCCTCCTCAGATTCTCCCCAAACCCAAAGCATTTTGGTTCTTAAAAATTGACTTAGGAGTCATAAGGAAGTCTGACTGATTAGGAGGCTCAAGAGAAATAACCTCTCATGCTCAGCAACAGCCATTGCCCTACTCTCACAGCATTGTCTGCCTGAAGCAGACCTCCGATTCATGGCAGGACAGGGCAAGAGGTTGCTGTCATACACATGTTCCAAACCTGACTGAAGTAAAATAAATGAAATAAGGGGAAATCACACAGTCAACATTTCTTCTCTGAGGTGTTGCTTGCTCTGTGAATAAGTACTGCTTTGTATTGTGAGGTAAACTTCATGTACAAACTATTCCTTCAGACTTTTTTTTAGTAATCAGGACATGAAGGTTGTAAAGTTAGTTTGATGGCGGTAGCCAGATAGAAAAAGCAGCAACCTGGAGGAAGTGGAAAAGGCCACATGAAGGGAAGGAAAAAGGGGATGAGGGAACAGTTTTACATTTTCCCTTTCACTAGCAGGACGTTACTAGTCTGTGACAACTACTTATTAAAGTTTTTTTTTTAGCCATAGACATATAAGAAAATTCCAACGCTTGTTTACTTATAAGTTCCACAAGGAAATGTTGAAGATTGGCCATTGCCCCAGTGAGACCCACCACAGGTGCAACAGAATACAAGTGCTTCCTAAAAAAACTTCCAAACAGCTAGTGTGGTGTAGTGGTTAAGAGCACAAGAATGGTCTTCAGGTGATTGGAGTACTACTTGCTGCTCAGCCATGGAGCCAACTTGGTGACTCTCACCCCAACCTACCTCATAGGGCTGTGTTGTGAGGATAAGTTTGAGCACTGCAGGAAGAGAATTTGATAAGCCATTTTGAGTTCATTGTATGAAAAAGCAGGATATAAATCTAATAAATACAACAGATAAGGCATCTGGAAATGAACCAAAACATTCATTTCTAGAAAATAAAGGCTCAGCAGAGCTCCCTTTAGTGAGGTCTGCTAACCTGTCCCATTCTAGAAACTTTTCTGGAATTTCTCACTGATGCAATTTATAGGCAGCCTTCAGTATTGCTTACTCTGTACAATGAGGCTGAGTTCCATAGGAATGCATCCACAATAAGAGGAAAAAAAAGTTCCTCCTGAAAATGGCAGAAAACTGTAAAGATATGGATTGGCTCTTATAGAATATGGGAGAGGTTCTTTTTTGTAATAAAGTGTGGAATATATAGTATATATAGTGTGTGTGTGTGTGTATAGTGTGCAATATGCAAAGTGAAAAGTGGCTATGAAGAGAAAATATTAATGGAAACGTGTTCCTAAAATCCAAAATAAATCTTTAATTAGATTATATGGTCAGGTATATTTTGCCTTTAAGCCCTTTGATCCTGCTTTACAAGATTTCCTTCATGGTGAGAGATGCCAGATGTGGGATAGCAGGAGAGTATGCAGTTGTTCTAGCTTCTGTCCCATTGCTCATCAGTTCACAGTCCACCATCTTCTCCCAGTTAAAACTAGAAACTAGGTCAGTATGCAAAAAGCTAAAGTTTCCCCTAAAAGGACCATGATCACCATCTGGCAGATGCGATTAATATTAAATCTTAATATTAAATATAGCAGCAGTACTTGGTGGACTGTACTCCATGGCCTTTCCACAACATGTCCAAAGGCAGTTAAAGCCGGGAACATGACTGAGACAGCAAAGAGACATTGCCTGATGTGTTATCTTTAACCAAAAGTAAATATACTTTCAGATCTGTTTTTCAATGCTGTAAATATTTGTGCTCACAAAATTCCTGTAGAGGGATGTCAGTGAACAGATTGCTACCATAAGGCTTATTCTTTAAAGCTGCAGTTTTTATTTTACTAAATTATCTATGTTAAAAACAAATCTGTGCCTGGTGTGGAATTTTACTGCATCAAGTGTTACAAGCAGCTGAATGTATGGCATGTAGGAACAAGTGTTAGGAAACAATGGAAATAAATTAGCATATAATTTACAAAAGCAAATAAAAATAATAACAATGTAACAGTGTACCACATTAATACTGCATATAAAATAATAAGCAACTAATCACAATAATAGAAAGGGTTCTTTATGTATTGTTAAGAAAGTTTATGTGATATCCATAACATTAATAAATTCTCCCTAAAATGGATTGATCCTAGGTGTATATATTTTGACAGGTTGAATTGTAGGCATTTTGTTTCAGTATGAGAGTCTTAGAATTGGTGGCATTGCTCAGTGGAAATATCAGCAACACATTATGTTTATTATCCTACTACTGAATTCCTAGGCTTCCCATCTTTCTGTAGCCTATGCTAATGGTCATATTGTCATTTGTTAGGAATACAATACTTAATAATTTTAGCTTAGATTATATAGATGGCTATAGTGTAGCAGCAGCAATGTCCTGTGCTGTGGAAACCAATGACTGACCTCTTTCATTCAGGTTTTATTTAGGTCCAGATTTGTAATCCCACTACATTCTGTAGTTTATTCCCTTTAGCAATGCAAGTCACAATTGCTCCAAGGATTCTTAAATTCCAAACTCAGTGCTCTTCTATGCTGCAGAGTAAACATTGGACTCCCTGGTCTTCTAGCACCAATGAAAGAGCAAAATGTGTTCGTGGAAACACTCTTTGCAATATCAATGTCCTAAGTGAGGTAAAAAGAGTTTTATCTGAATAAATTTCATAAGTTCTTGCTAGTTGAAAAGAAACAAACTAATAAATATATTCATGCCTCAGAGCAAACCAGAGTATGATAATTTGTAGCATCTTGCCTGGAAAATGCCCTTGCAATATCTATCCCTTTTATTATATTTTTACTTAGCCAAGGCATGCTAGCACCAAGATATTTTTCTTAACAGACTGATGTACAAAAGGCATTCACTCATTGACTACATTGCCCTCATGCCTACATGTTAACTGCCAAATGTGTACAGTTTTCTTTTCTGAGCTTTCAATCCATTTCAATGAGAGCTGTGTACATTGCAACTGAGCAGTAAATAGCTCCAAGTACACAAATTTGCCTGAAATGAATTCTACTGCTCATGGGTATATGGAAGTGAAACATACTGTCAAGAGGTAGAATATGACAGGAGTTTGATGGTTATGAAAAAGGGCTACAATAAGCCCTACCAATAGATTGTCAAGATAATTTCTGCATAGTACAACTCACTCTCCCTCTGTTTTTCCTGTTAATTCACATTAGTAAATATTGTTCAACACATTTGGCTTACTGCAATTTGTTAAATATACTGACACATTTAGATATCATATACACATTATAAAAACTTATCTCATTAAGAGTATTATTTTTATAAAAGTGCCATTTGACTTCTAGTGTTAATACAAGGTGGTGGTGTTCACATCATTTCAATTGCACTACAACAAAGGAGGCAAGTTGGACACAAAAGCACATTCATCAAGTACCTGCTACAAACTGCAAGTGTTCAAGTACAATATAATAATATAAACAAGTACCCACTTTCCTTATCTCTTTGTTGTGTCATGGACAAAGCAGGGAATGGGGGAGAAGTATGGTCATTAGGATTAGCTCACACTGGATTCTGGAATCTATTTTACCCATGGAGCTTGGCTTCACATTTAAATACAATCCAGAGTATTAATATATTGATATGGTGAATTTAAAAACCATGGTAGTTTGACTGGAAAATTTCTCATATGTTCTCTTTGGTAGTTCATTCTGTACAAGTCTGCAAAAGTTGGGCATATCCTTATTCTCTCTTCTTCATGGTCTTCCATAGATCAGTACTTTCCTATTGTACAATGAAGCAAAACCTGAAACCCCACTGTAATTTTCTGTATGATTAGCAGAACAGACTCTCTCCCACTATACAGTCAATTTATCACTGGTAATTATAGAGTAACAAAGCCAGTTAGTTTTATGAAAATGGATGCTTCTCCACAACTGAAGTGAAAAATATTGAATCTGAAGAGACAAGCCTTAAGCATCCTTTAGATAGGCAGTGAAATTGTAGGAAATATGTTCTTCACAATTGGAATATGACTTTTCCATTGTACGGATATATTCCCTTTTAGTGGAAATCCCAATTTAATAGTAAAATGGCAAGATGGCTATAAACCTTCAGTACATATATCTTAATTGTTTGATGCATCCAGGCAACAACTGTGGCATCTCTTAACTCCATGTTTCTCATCATTCTCATTTAGTTTACCTTTAGATATGGCTCACAGCAGTCTTCAGGAAACATTGATTATTTTTTTAAAGAATTAGATGAAACAAAGGAAAATACATTTCTTTTACTTCAGATTTATAATTGTTTCTAAAATAATATTCCCAAGCCCACTTCTTTAATTCAAGATGTGGTGCTATGTAGTAAGATAAAATAGTTATTAATTATAAGCTATGTCAAGATTTTTAAAATTCTTCTTTACTTCTGTAGTTGACCAAACCATAACAGCTACATTTTAAACAATATTAAATACAAATGGATTCAGTGTCATTGCTAAGTCCATAATAAAAATTATCTTAATGGTCCAAGGAGGTAAACAGACTAGTGGATTTAATCAAAAGTACACATATGTTCCACCGTAAGTTACTCTGTATGCACTGTGTGTATTTTTCCATTTGGCAAGCCCTCCTTATACTGTGTCCAGCACTTTGGATGAATAAATCCCACTTCACAGAAGTTAAAATAATATTGAAATTCTGTCAGCTGGGGCTGACCAGTGGTTACATTTTCCACAGGGTGATGCATTTACAAGGACATCTGTCTGGTTGCACTGTGCAGCAGTCTTTGATGGACACATTTCCTCAATGAAATAACAAGGCACTTTCCATTTCTGTGGGTCAATGTCCTTGGCAGGTCTTACAGCACATCTGTCTGAAGTATGCTCGACTGCAGAACTTGAACTTCAGCACCAGTGGGCAATAAGCCACTTTATTCACATCTTTGCATTCTGTTGGAGACATACAAAAACAGACTGATTACATAAATTAAAAGCCCTCCCCAAAACAATGCAAATAGGGCATAATAAGTTCCTTCTCTGTCTTCAGTATGAAGTTCTGATTTTGGTACAGCATATTGCATACAAACTACACAGAAGTCTTCATCAATGTTTGTTTATTTCTGAGCATACTCAGTCTGTTCTTTGGAGAGCTGATCACTTGAGATTATGAAAAAATATGAGAGTTTCTTCCGACATATTTGCAGCTTCTTCTCCAGAGTCTGTTTGGTCCTCATCTAAAAGTTCTATACTACCTACTGAGATTCTTGTTTGGCATATTCAGGAATGAGTAGTCTTTGAATGAAAACATCATTGCAGCTTTCAGTGACTCAGAAAATATTCAGCATTACTAAGTACATTTATGGTGCAAATTCAGTGCTGCTTGTACTGCAGCTTGGATTTCTGCTGCCAATACTTTGCTTTACGTGGAAAGAAAAGGTATTTCTACATCTGAGATCTCTGGCAGTCCTGCAATATCTTGCAAGATGTAACAGCAGAGGCAAAGAGATTTTTCTATATGCTGTACAAGCAACTGATCTTGAACTACAAAACTCTGAGTTGGCATTGATTGATGAGAGACTTCAATCACCAAATGAAACTAAACTGAGTAAAAGGGGACAGTGTTTTTCTCAAAATCTTTCCCAAAGTGAACTTTTCCATGAAGTTTTTGGTATAAGACCTCAAGACTTGTATCAAACCTAAACAAAGACTAAGTATAGGTAACCACATATGCTTGAATCCAGCTTTTGTCAGCCTGCCCCCTCCCATATCTCCCCTTCTGTTATTTCTCCCACTGTTGGAATTAAATCAAGTTCCTAGGTGTAAGGCTCAGTCTTCTTTTTTAGAAAATGTTGATGTTAAATTGCATTGTGTAAAGTGCGATGTGTGCTGATGATGCTATATAAATAAATACTCTGGCTTAGATTCAAGGAAACACCCAACTAGAAGGGTATCCAGTCCTGGTTTTGCAGCTGAAACAGTCTGTAACGTGGCTCAGAAGCCTTCCATATGGGGGTGGGAGGTGGGATTAATCCTTCCACTAGGTATACCAAAACCTTGGGGCATGCCAGAAATAGTTCTTTGGCTTGTAGCCAAAATATCTAAAACCCAGTTCCTGGTCCTATTGCACCAAGAAATAGATTCAAGGGCAGGGCTACATATGCCTTAGTAGACCTATGGAAAAATGATCCAGATCCTAAGTAAATTTGCTTCATATAAAAGAAGGGAGGGACTGAGAGAAGAAAGTGCATTGCTCCTTGGCCTGTTCAGATACACAAGTTGATTTTATTTATTTGATTCCATAGATGGGGTGCCACAGCTCAGAAGGCTGTTCCCCTCATAGCGACCTTCTTTACTTCCTTCAGGGGTAACTCATAGAGAAGGACCTCCATAGATGATCTAAGTGTCCAGGTAGGTATATAAGGGAGAAGATGCTTCTTTAGATACCTAGGCTCTAAGCTGTTTAGGGCTTTATATGTTAGTCCTAGTGGTACTTAAAGCATTGGTTCTAAAGCAATCTGCTTTGCAGGGATATTTATTCATATTGTATTATAGAAAATATTGTACTGTTCCAACAAAGTTAAACATTCTGTTTCTACCATGTAGGATGTGGTCAACTTGTATTTTTAATGCATTGCTACTGTAAAGTATTTACATTTTAAAATACCACACTGTTTTCAGCTACTAAAAAGCTTTAAAAGAGAAAGCACATACATATAAAGGAAACTACAGCTTGTATAAAAACAGCTGAAATGGCACCAGGGATACAGTTTCAAATGACCTTGTAAAACATAGAGTTAGGTGCCATATGTACTGGAAATGTGTGTCTGTGTATATGTATGCAGATTTGCACATATTCAGATGTCTGTATCAAATACATATCAAATGCATGCGTGTGCTAGATCAAATATATGCTGTCAGTTTCTAATTCTGAATAACAAATGGTAGGCTACCATGTAAGGTCTCATTAGTGGCAACTTGCCAAAATCTAGCCTACAATGCTCTAATCTCCAGTTAATGTCTTTATCTCAAAGATCAAAAGCAGATGTTAATTGTGACAAGATGTCACCACTTTATTTCATCAATTCCTAAATCTTTTGGTTTTGCACATTTATGGACTGACAGTTACAAACTGCCAAAAAAAAGTATTTCAGGATGGCTATAATGCAAGCAGCAGGCTCTATCAGATTGAAAACAGTGTGTTCCTCTCATGCTGCAAATGCTTTTTACAGTTAGCTACCTACAAGTTAGAGGCAAAAACATGAATAAATTTCTGCTTATCCTAACAGTATCCAACATAAGATGTCACACTAGTTACCTGGAGTAAGAATCTATTCTTTTAAAATTTATGCTACCTTCATCTGAAATTTAGGAATATAAACTATTACTTACTGATGCACTCTCCTACATGCACTCCTTCTGTTTTTTATATGATAAAACATTTACTCTAAATTTTTAATGGCATGTATTACTCAGCTGTGTCATAGCACCATTGAAAAACAGTCTATCTGAAATAAGAAAGTTCTTATCTGTGTTGCTAGATTTGTGATAGCTAATTCATATAGCTATTTCATCAGGATGATTAAGTTTTATACATGTCTGTGTAAACTGATAAAATGTTGATCATGTAACTACACCACTAGACTAATTTCAAAGTTATCCTTTGTACTGAACTCCACCCCCAAAATAGCTTCACCACCATGGTGAACCATAGAATATATAAAGTGTCCCATTGACATAGGGTCATCAGTCTCCCCTGTTGATTTGTATTTCCTGGGATAATGCTGAGAATATAATTTTAACTTGAAGGCTTAAGGGCCTCTAATTTTAATAAATTCAACTGAAGATGAACTTATTATTAAAGAAACACCACCACCCACACACACTCCCCCCAAACTTACCTTCTGTGTTGGAAATGGGAGTACTATCACATTTGCTTTCACATTGCTGCATTGATGGAGGCCTAAGAAGATCTGGACAGTCACTGGATGCTTGCCCAGTATATGAGAGACACTGCACAGTTCTCATTTGTTGTCCAAGACCACACTGCGCAGAACACTAGGTTAAAAAAGATATAAAAGTAAGGTGAAAAAAGGAAGGGATGTCAGATTCTACATAATAAAGAGCAACATGGTGAACAGAGGTAAACCATTTAAACACATACATTGCTATTATGACACTGTAAGATTGATATCATGAGATTTTATTGGCAGCTATGGGATACCTTTATCATTGTCACATTATAAAATTTAAACTAGCCAGTGCTTGGTTTCTACTTTTATATGAGGATAAAAGAAGGATCTGATAACTACTATGTTTTCTCCACAAAAGTCATTTTTTTCAGCCATAAACCACTCATTTCTTTCTCTTTTTAAAAACTGAAAGATCCCTAGTTGACAGCCCTGAGAGTTCAGGCTTTAACCAAATAAAAAACAGACAGAGGCCAAACTAGATCTTGTCATATGAGAGCTGCAACTGGCCATATGGAAAACACTGGAAACGAAACAAGTTCTGATTTAAATAAAGGGTAACAACTATTGAAGTTCTGGCAGTTAAGAGAAGAAGCCACTTAAACATTAGTATTTTTGTATTTCCATCTTAGACCCATCTACTATTTCTTACTGAAGACAGAATCATGCAATATCTTTACCCAGATATTGCTCAGGTGGGATTATTTTATTCTAAGAGATCCATGACGTTTACTTTTGGCCATATTAGTAAAAATTCTTAAAAGCACAAAACAGCAAGTCAAGAAGACTCACTTTATTTTTGACATAACACAGATATATGGGATGGGAAATGTACTGCTTGGCAGCCAAAACATTATAGGCAGCCTTCCCCAACCTGATATCTGCCAGATACTTTAGACTGCAAAACCCAGCATTCCCAGCCAACATAGCCATTGCTGTAATCCAATATATCTGGAGGGTATCAGGTGGGGGGAGGCTGACCTGATGGGTGTCTGTGATATTGCAGAGCTTGCATCCGAAAAGGCCATGAAAAAAGAGGCTGATATTTCCCAACCTCCAAATATTGCAAGTTGAGGCAAAATGTAATATCCAGGAACAGCAGTAATACCTTGGGTGAATATGTTTATCAAGCTTACAAGTGAGCATCAATCAATTTTACTGATTGTCTGGAAAGGCCCTAAGATCACTACTGAATAGTCTCCATTTGGACCACTGTAACACACAATGTTGTGCTGTCTTTGAAAAGTGTAGGCAAACTTCAGCTGGTCCAGCATGCTGCAGCCAGACTGCTGACCAGGATCAGCTACAGACAACACATAACTCCATTGCTAGAATAGCTTCACTAACTACTGATCTGTTTTCAGGTATAATTCAGAGTGCTGGTTATGACTTATAAAGCCTTATAAAACTTGCACCATATGAACCTGCCAACTTTGAAGCTTTTCAGGGGATGACCTTCTCTCAGTATCATTGCCATCAGAGGCAGGTTTGATGGGAAAATGAGAGAGGGTCTTTTCATTCGTTTTGAACTCCCTGCCAAGGGAGGCTAGCTAGGTTTGTTGCTTGTTGCTAGTCATGAAGTTCTGTCCAACGCATCGCGACGCCATGGATAACATTCCTACAGGCCTTCTTGTCCTCCACCATCCCCCGGAGTCCACTTAAATTCGCGCTGACTGCTTCAGTGACTCCATCTAGCCACCTCATTCTCTGCCATCCTCTTCTTCTTTTGCTGTCAATTGTTCCCAGCATTAGACTCTTCTCCAATGAGTTCTTCCTTCTCATTAGGTGGCCAAAGTTTGTACGTATGTACGTATGTATGTATTTTTTGATTTATATCCTGCCTTTTTCCTACAAAGGACTTAAGGCAGCTTACATCATCTCTCCTCCTCCATCTTATCTCCACAACAACAACCCTGTGAGGTAGGTTGGGCTGAGAGTCTGTGACTGACCCAAAGTCACCCAGTTGGCTCCATGGCTGAGCAGGGACTAGAACCCATATTGTCTGAGTCCCAGTCCCATGCTCTTAACCACTACACCACACTGGCTCTCAGTATGTGAGTTTCATCTTCAGTATTTGGCCTTCTAAAGAGCAGTCAGGGTTGATCTCCTCTAGGACTGACTGGTTTGATCACCTTGCAGGCCAAGGGACTCACAGAAGTCTTCTCCAGCACCACAGTTCAAAGGCCTCAATTCTTTGGCACTCAGCCTTCTTTATGTTCCAGCTTTCCCAGCCATACATTGCAAATGGAAAAACCATAGCCTTGACTATACGCACTTTTGTTGGCAGGGTGATGTCTCTGCTTTTTAGTATGCTGTCTAGATTTGCCATAGCTTTCCTCCCCAGGAGCAAGCATCTTTTAATTTCTTGGTTGCAGTCCCCGTCTGCGGTGATCTTGGAGCCCAGGAAAATAAAATCTGTCACTACCTCCATTACTTCCCCATCTATTTGCCAGTAAGTGATTGGGCTGGATGCCATGATCTTAGTTTTCTTAATGCTGAGTTTCAAGCCAACTGTTCTGCTCTCCGCCTTTACCCGCATCAAGAGGCTCTTTAGTTCCTCCTCACTTTTTGCCATTAGAATAGTATCATCTGCATTATCTGAGGTTGGCACCCCCCCCATTTTTTGACCTTTGTCAAGCAGGCCCTTGGTATGTAAGCTAGCTTGTTGGGTTAGGTGTTTTTAAAAAAAATATTTTATTGTTGGCAGCTGCCTAAAGCATAATTTCCTGGTAGTAAGGTGGGGTATAAATAAATAAATATGCACCTAAAGAAAATAGTCCTCTTAGGTCAATTTTTTTTCATTCAGGCTACTGCAGTGCAAACAGATAAAGCTTGTACTTCACTTCTTAATGAGGCATAGGATGACCGACAACCAGTAGCCCAGTGCCTTTAGCTTTAGTCAGGCCTCCTGCCTTTGTCCAGATGCTGTCACTACTAATTGTGGCTCTCTCATATATTTGTCCTTATGTGAGGTATACACTAGACTCCTGCTCCTACTTCACACAAGTTTTGACTAATTGTATGCAGTGCTGGCTTTAATGTAACGTTTTTCATAACAAGGAAAACTGAAATAATTATACCATGTATATAGCGTTGCACACTTGACTTACTTTTCATCTAATATTTTGTAATGCAAGGCAACCAATATTCAAGCCCATGGAAGCTTATAATAGTCTTTTACTCTTGAGTCCTATATATAACTGTGCTCAAAAGTAAGTTCCACTGAGCACAATGGTAATTATTCCCAGTTAAGTATGTATTATATGCTGCCTATAGTGCAAAACATTCTCTGGTGTTTTGCTGCAACAGCTGAAATGGCCACCCATTTGGCCATTCTTTTTTAGTTACCCATAGATCCTGCCTGTATTACCTGTCCCCAGTCTCCAGTGACCCATCGTGGTGGTGGACATCTGCCCAAGCTACAGCGCATGCGGACTGGTGGCTTGTTTTCTTCTTGGCAATGCGCAACTGGAAATGTTTTTGAAAGGTCACTGCTTTTGCAAAGAACAATTCGATGCTTGAAACCAGGACCACATTTTGGAGTACACTGGATGCAACAAAAGACGTACATAATTTATATAATTAAATACAGATTAAAGTGTCAAAAATATGATTATACTAAATCACTTGTCCTCCCAATTAAAGGTATTCATTACAAGAACTTAACAAATGTCATGCTGGATCAGGCTAAGGGTCTATCTATTCCAGCATCCTGTTTACATGGCAGCCAGCCAGCTGCTTACACGCAATCCACAAGCAGGATATGGCTGCAATACTGCAATACTGCAGTTGTGTTCTCCTGCAATTGGTGTACATAGGCATACCATCCCTGATTCTGGAGGTAGTTTATAGTTATCAGGACTAGTATACATTAATAGCTTTATCTTCCATCCTTTTCTTACTAGTGAACAACAAAAAGGAGAGAATAAATCCTCATTTATTCAAGCAAGCAAGCAAAGTTTTCATTCCTTATCAGGCACAAATGTGTAAACCAAATGTTAGTTTAAGTATATAATTTCTCTTTAAACTTTCATGGATTTTGTTTAATGCAGTAATTACCACTATAGATTTATTTTCTATGTGTATTATTTAAAATACAAAAATATATTTTAAAAGCCCAGCTGCTTGCCTTACACTTAATATCCCTTTTCCTCAGCTGCTGCTGCTGTTGCTGCTGTGGCATATTCAAACAACACAATACATCAGCCCTAATATTTAATTATGGCTTACATGAACAAGACACAAACTAGCATCCCTCCCTCTTCCCTCTGACCCAGCATCGCACTTTTAAATTGACCAAAGTTCCACATTACGTCCAAATTTGGGGTATTTAAATTACACTTACTGAAAAAACAGGATCGCAGTTTTATCCTGACTTATTTGATCAAACAATTTAAATTAATCAGAGATTCCCCAAGATGAGACTTAACAGGGAACTCTGGTTTATTTAAAAAGGAAAATGAATGCTACCCAGTGCTTTTTTTTGTCATAGAATGCACCAGAACAGAGTTCCGGCACCATTTTTTAACAGATTTTCCAAGTTTTAAAAGTAACTTTTGAAAATTTGATGTTTGGTTCATGTGGATTTGAATCGCCCTGTCGAGTGTAGCAGGGCTGCAGCAAAATCATTAAAACGGTGCATGCGGGCTGCTTGTGTGTCGAAACTGATGCATGCATACTTCGTCTGTGCCGGTTGTGATGGCACTGCTCAGCTTGTGGCACTGTTCGGCTTGTGATTGGTCGTGTGGTCGCGTGCTAAGTGCTTATTGCGGGCAGCGACTGTTATGTTTCGTTACACAACTGACGTGTGTGGGTGTGTGTACAGTGACTGACTACGTGTGAAAGGTAAATAATTCCATGAGTTCCGGCACCATTTTCTTACAAAAAAAAGCACTGATGCTACCTATCTCTTCTTGGCTGCAACAAAGGGAGATAGGGAAAGAGATCAAAGAGCATGAGATTCATGCATATACTGCTAAAAGAGAGGTTGCTTACTGCACTCACACATATGGGCTCTGTACCTGACTTTCTGTAGTTGAGAAAAGTGTTTTCCTCAACTACAATCCTGTGTTTTTGCTTGCACTCACAGTGCCTTTAAGACCAGTCTTGGAAAGGAAGGAAACCCCACTGCTATGCAAGTAGGCACTGAAGTGAGAATAATGGGTGGGTTATGTGACTGCACAGATGATCACTTGAAGAACTGCAGTTACAGATGAGCAACCTGTCTTTCTCTTTTGTGATCTTCATGCATCATACATAGTGGCAAGTAACAAGCTAACTGAATGTAGTTTCAGTGCCGTATTGGAGAACAGCCAAAAAGTTAGCATGTCTTAAAGAGAAGTCAGCTCTAACCCTGATGTCTAGCTTTAAAATCAGTGTCCTCAGCTGTAGAAGATAAATCTGTTTAATGAACACCAGTAATGTAGCCAGTGCTTGAGTAGAATGGGCTTGGACTGGATGTTTATGGGATGCCATGCTGCCATGAATATCTGTGAAAAGAATGCAACTTTCAGCCAGTGAAGCTGAAACTGGCTTCCCAGATTTGGTTCTCATCAGGCCTATTTATTGAGCTGGGTTAAATCTTTTCCACATAAATTAGTCTCCTTCCACCTCCTCTCCCCCAGCCTGCTCATCAGTTTTAAACTCTTCATATCTGAACCCTCTCTCCAAACAGATTTCATTAAGCTCCCAAAATAGACAGACTACCAAAAGAGATACTTCCCACTGTTATGGCTGTAGAAGAGGTGCATTGCGCAGTATGATTTAATGAGTTTGATTTATTTTTGCATGACAAGTTAACTTTACGTAGAAAAGTAAGATTGTTATGTGAGGGCTTCAGCTCTGGGGTGGCATAGAAATGAAATTATTATAATTAATAGTAACAATGCAGAAGTGGATGGATAACCTGATTTTTACTTTGGATCTGTTAGCTGATTATAACATTTTCCATTTTTCTGTTTTGCATGATAAATATAATTTATCATCAGTGACTGAATATGTGCAATTGTAATATTTGCTAGGATTTAGGTTTGGCCCTGCTGCTCTTGCAGTTTCAGATTCTTCTCCATTATCAGAAGTACTTTAAGTTGGCCAGATAAATCTACCCACACTCTAGATCTATACATATTTATTACTGGTAAATAAATATTATACATGGGGTCTTAAGCAGGAATGAAATAGCAAATGGGGCAATTCTACTTTATCCACTACATTAACATTTGTCTCAGAAGTGTGAGGAAGCTCCACTTAGGTTAGTCCCACATGGGTAATAATTATGTGATCTTGGGTATCAATAATTTCATATGAAGTGGAAGAACAGCTGCTTTGGATTTGACCACTAATGAAATACAAGCCCCACCCCAATGCCCCCCGAAATTTATTATTTAAAAATGTGTATTTATTTTTACATGTTCAAACTTTAGTCACCTTCCAAGTACTCTCTGTTTGATGCAATATACCTATCAAGATGTTTTTCCACTGCTCAAAACAGGTTTTGAACTCACCAATTTTGATGCCTTTTTAGTGCTTCTACCATTTTTTGTTTCACTTCTTCCACATCAGCAAAATGTTTCCCTTTGAGGACTTTTTTCATCCAGGGAAACAAAAAAAAAGTCGTATGGGGTGAGATAGGGTTAATAGGGAGGATGGGACACAAGGGTCATACCGTTTATGGTCAAAAACTGCTGAACACTCAGCTGAACAAAATTTTACTACCACATGTTGTAGTAAAATGTAAATCAGCCATCACAAAATAGGCAAACGCATTGAAAGAATCTCCAAAACAAACCTCACTGAAGCCAAACGCAGCCTTCCACAACAACCTAGCTGGGTACACTGATGCAGATGGATTCCTAGAACACTCACCTAGTGGGGGAAGCCTGCACTACAAGGGGCCTGCCCTCCAGAAGATAATTCCTGTTTTTTTGGGGGGTCCTCCCTCATATTCTGGTATGTATAAAGTCTCTTACTTAATGCATTTGCACTTTTACTCACTTCTGACCAATCCAAAGGAACCCATTGTGGGGGGCAAGTCTGGTTGTTACAGGATTCTTTTTCTATTGGCTGGTGTGTTAAACAATGGCTACTGTCCAATGTCTCCTCTTCAGATGGTCCAATCTTCCTGATACACAAAACTGTTCGTGATCGCATTCCACCATCACAGGTCTTACTGCATTCTGACCAATCTCCTATAAACCACCTTCAAGAAATATATTGTGAGGAAAAACATATTAAATGGATATTCATGCAGTTAATACATCTAGCAGACCAAATGAAAAAATGTAATCTTAAGACTCATTATATATTGAGACAATTCTCCGGGAAGAGACTGGAGACAAACATTATGGGCAATATTGTTGCTGAACTTCTGCTTGACCTGTTACACTAAGGAGTTTTTGTCTTGAAATTCTGTGTGCCTGTGAAATGCTCATTGGATGCTACAGCAGCAGTGTTTTCTGTCTGTCTTTTTCTGCCATTGTATGATACTTCTAATGACAAGCAACATAAGACAGAAGATCCATAATGAACAAAATAAATGAGGTCATAAAAAGCAGATTAATGGATCCAACTCTTTATTTGCTCTGAACTGATCTTGTAAAATTGCCATTTTTTTCCATTCCAGTGTTTTCCATTTTTTTCCACTTTGTAAATGTAAACAACATGGGTAAATATAAATAAATTATCTCATGCACTTACTCAGGTGGGCAAGGCTCAGTGTTGCAGGCTCTTTGATTTTCTGGTGGCTTACTGTCAGGATCACAGTAATTGTTCTGTACTATAGAATTATCATCCAGCCTTTTACACACTATTTCTTGTTTTTGCACACCTTGGAAAGAAGCACAATATCATTAATGGTGCCTTCATTTTTGTCTTTCCTTATTTCAGAAAGAGAATGTTGTGACACATAAAGCTAATTGAAGTATACAAGCCACGTAAAACAATTTATCCAAAGCTCAATGGATGTACTGTTTTTGCCACCTACTTGGGCCTGCAAAAGCCAGGGGCAGAAACCATTGGGGCACATATTTTGCAAATGTCAGAGGAAGACACATAAGCAAGCTTTGCTGACATTGCTCTTCCCATAAATGAAAATTTCTTCTCTTTGTGGGGTTTACCCTAGTACTGAAATGGATAGGCTAGAGACCTGGAATCACATTCCAAGGATATAACCTAAAGGAGGAAATTATCTGTAATCCAAAATAATCTGTAATTCTAAGTATGAAAATGAAAGGAAAGAAGAATTTCTCCATCTTTTATTTCCATCTTTGCACAAGAGCTTGTGAAATAGTAGTTTTTTTCTTCTGTGTCCTTTAGTTTTCATGTAAACATGTAATGAGCAATAAATAAAAATTCAACCTGTGGTATTGTTTTCCATCACCACTGCAACCTGAACTTTTACCACACTCCAAAAATAAATAAAAAGGAAAGGATAAGCCTTCTTGATTGTAACTATTTTAGTCCAGAATGACTTCCTAGAACATGGGTCCTATAACCTTACAAGGAAAAAGCTTCAAATGAGCAGAGGAATTTAATTGGAATGCAATTTTATTGTAGTGAAAGGTCAAAGTAGCAGCAGCTGTTGAAATCTGTACTTAGTAGGACCAATTTCTTTGTTTATAATGACAACAGTAGTTGTAGTGAATATATACAACACACGTGTATTCTCTCTCTCTGCACATATTTTTAAGCGTTTTCTCAACTTTCTACCCTAAGGTCTGCTTTGCAGAGTTACTGAGGCCCATAGTTACAAAATGTTGATGTTGGGCCACAGCTGGACACAAAATGGTGACAGATGGAGGCAGGTTTGGTGCAATCAACAGGCAATTCATGATACCATTTTGTACTAACTATTCTCTCCTTGAAAATTACTAAATTCCTTGCTAAAGTCTTTCCTTGTAGGAGGGAGTTTCACAATTCAGCTTTTCTCAACTTTAAATACTCAGTCTCCTCAATTCAGGAAGAATATGATGATCATGATGTTCTGAGTTTGGGTATACTCATGACCACTTCTCTTGGCACTCATAATCTTGTCTTGGTTTTCATTCTATTTCTTAGGATTATTTTACACTTAAAACAAACAAACAACCCTGTGAGATTGCAATGTTGCAAAAATAATGTCCCTTACTTGGGTTCAAAAGACTGTTTTTCACTTTGGAGCTTTGCCCAGCAATTCCATTCCTGAGCTAGTTACTTAAAAACTATCAATTTCACCAGCTTGTCATCTGGAAAATGGCTCTTTTGTGACCGGCCATGGCCTAAATGGCAGTCATTACATAAGAGCACCCATGGCATTTTAAAAATTCTGAATGTGCCCACCAACCCAAAAAGATTAGGGAGCATTGCTCTATGTGGAGAAAACAATTAATTTTATATTGTTTTTGTCCTCTCAAGTCTTATCCATTCGTTATCATTTCTTTTCCCCATCTCTGTTCACACTTAACCTGTACTCTGTTCCCAACCAGTAGTTCCTTTCCTCACTTCCTCCTGCTGCTTTTACATACATTTCCTCCTATAAGAGCTTTCTTCTCTTATCCCAGCGCTCTCTATTCCACTTTTTTAAAAATAAAACTAGTATTATAAGATATAAGCCTTACTCTCTAACCAAGTTCCATGGCCATAGCAAAGGGCAGTCAAGCAAGACTCATAACAATGTTAGCTGAAACCTATTTGTAAGGTTGAAAGTTACCATATACCTGCTGGCAAGCCTAATTGAATATTTTGATCATTTCCTGAAAAGAGGGAACAAACTAATAATTTGGCCTTCACTGTACTAAGAATACTGGAGTCAGGGGGCTTTGTCATGTATGTTTCTAGACTTCAGGCCCTCTGAGTTAAAAACCAGCTTGAAACTAGAAACTCAAACAAAAAAGGGAAGCTGTGGGATTGGACAACCAAAAGAAACCAAGACTGATGAGTCACTGAGATGGCCAAAGTCACACAGTAATTCTTAACTGATTATTGCAATTTAAATGTTTTTTTTCATTTTCCTGGGTTGGAGGAATTCTCCATTTGACCCTATGGAGAAAAATCTCACTGGGCCATGCTGAGAAACTCTACTTTTTTAGATCTAGTAACTTTGATTTTCATCCCCTCTGGAATTTCTCTTCCATGGAACTAAGTAAACACAGCTCATTTTACTGCAGACTTATTGAATTAGTTCTGGAATACCTAAGAAAACTTGCATAATTATTCATTTTATTTATTAAAAATGCACATTATTTTTAATGCACTTTGTGAACTGCCCAGAGAGCTTCGGCTATTGGGTGGCATAGAAATTAAATAAATAAATAAATAAATAAATCCTGCATTTCTATTTCAACCTTCCTTACCTTTTCCTAAACAATTGCCTTTCCCTCCCTGCTTGAGATTTTCCAGGGATGATTTAAGGTAGTGAGGACAGGCGAGTCCAACGTTCTGCCTAAAGCATATCATTTGGTCAGTTTAGGAGATTTGTTAAAATGTTCCTGATTAGGACAATATTTACTTAAAGTAATTATTTAATTAATTAATCAAATTAATATCCAACTTTTTGTCCTCTTGTGAGGAGCCCATAGTGGTTGCCTAGTTCTCCTCCTTTCCTTTTTATCTTTGCAACTACCCTGTGGAAGGAAGTTGGGCTGAGGGTCCATGACTGGCCCAAAGCTCATGGTAAGTTCATGGCTGAATAGGAATCGAAACCAAGGGCACCCAAGGCCCAGGCCAACACAATTTCTACACTTGTTCTCAAATGAGTCTAAAATTTATTTATTTATTTGGGTATTTTTATCCTGTTCAATTACATTGCATGTCTCTGGATGGCTTACAAACAGAACACCCAATAAATACATATAAACCCATAATAATCCACAACTGAGCATAAAACATAGTTAAAGCATTAAAACATTAAAATTACGGGAAAATATAAAGGTCTTGACCTGGTGCCGAAAAGCATATAACGTTGGCACCAGGTGGAACTCTCTGGGGAGCGCATTTCATAGCCGGGGCCCCAGGCTAAGGAATAAAGATTTACTTTATTTCTGACTAAATAATTTTGATTTTAATATATAGATATGATACTGAATTTTAGTACAGCCAGCTTTAAGCACCATCAACTTCAGTGTGAGTTTCCAGTGAAATTTATCTCTTGCTAAGTTGTACCCTATATGAAAATATCAGAATGAATGAATTCAAAATATAATGAAGACTCATATTAACATTGCAAAAATGTAGAGATTATTTTTAAATAGGCTTTCTTAAAAATATAAGTATGTACAAAATGAAGATAAATGTCATGAGGAAAACTCAGAAAAACAGGTAAAAGACCATTTTTTCAATTAACTCATCATTTTACAAAATAACTCTAAAGAACTAAAGTGACTTGTAAAGCAAAGGAGGTGCATTTGCTATTTGTTCATGACAGCTGAAGATAAAATTGAAAGGGTACTGTTATCAGTAAAAATGTTTCCTAAAATCTTCACAGAGGATGCACACAGAGAGAAGCACTCCACTTTCATATAGAGCAAAATAAGTTTTAACACTAAGATAATGAGGAAACAGGCATGTGTATAAGACATTAAGCTGTATATGGCATTTCCTTCTTTTATGTATCCTCAGTGCAGAGCATACAGTGTTTCACAACACAGGAGTTTCTGAAAAAGCTGAAACAAAATAAGGTTGCTTAACAGATTTTTTTTAGTGTGAACATTTGCTGCTATTGTTATATTTTATATGAGAAGGGACTGAGAGTTTTGAACTCGTGGCGTTAAAGGGAAGCTTTACAGGTTCTGCAGTTAAAGCTTCGTTCAGTATACAGTTCCACTACTTATATCAGTGGGCATGACACATTTAAGAATATTTTTAAAAGGCAAACAAGGCACGTTGTGGCAACCATAGGCGCCATATTGCACATTTTCTAGAGTTTAATGGAACTGCACAGTGGCACCCTAAACTTGATATTTCATCTTAGAGAGGCAGATGAACAGATAATCACTCTGCTGAAATGAAATACATGTATTTGTTAAATATATAAAAATCTGAAGAAAACTAAATCAAAACAAACAGAAAGCAAATAAAGCACAAAAAATAAGTTTCAAGAGTATTTGAAATAAAGTTAATTATATTCTATTTCAGCTAAACTATGTTTTTAATCTACCTAATCATTGAAAAACTTACCTCCAGCACAAGTAGCTGAACATTCTGACCAAGGTAGGTGATTCCATGTAAACCCAACTTCATTGTCGCCACTGCCAGTACGAGAGATGGGAACATTGAATTTATACCTTATGCCCAGGTTTTGCTCCTGTAGTAAAATCTGCAGTTGAAAATAACTGGTTATACCATTAAAACATTTGGAAAATATTTCATTGGTATTTAATCAATGGCTGAACTTGTACTAGATTATTCTTTTTAGGAAACAATTTTGTAAATCAGTGTAGTTGTTTCTCAAATTTAGAATAACTGCTTTGGTCCTTCCAAACTCTTATAACTGAGTAGTGTGAGCTTTTAAAATGCAAAATTACCTTGGATCTTAGGCCTAAATCCCTTAGACCTTAGAAGGAATAGCCAGAATATTAGACATTATCCTGTAAAGGAGAATAGTGGATCTAAAATCTCAATGTAATTGTACATGGGGTTGAGAGAGCAGGATTGAAAAAATAATGTGCATTACTCCAGCTGGAATATTTGTTACATTTTGGGAGGAACACTAATGTAGTATAATACTTCTTTTAGGTATATCAAAAATAAAATTAGGATACAATCAATATAATTGCAATCATAACATATTGCTGGGAAACCCTTGAATTTGGATTGAAGAAGGCTGGGAGAAGTGGCGGGGGGGGGTTGCCTCCCCAATTTCTGCTCTGGATGTTTTTCACTAGGCAGGCTGTTCAGCTGATCTAGTGATGACACTTTGAAGGGAGAGAGAAGAAGTTTGATACAGGCTCAGAGCGACTTCATTTTAGTCTCCATCTGTCCCCTCCCACTAGAAAGGTCCCTCCTCCTCCAAGGTCTCTCGTTCTCAGGGAGCAGGTAATGTGGTTCTTTCCATGCCAACTGTGAGCAACTGAAAGAGCAGAGTTCAGAAGTCCAACTCCCCTTTCCAAGTTCTGAGCATTGTCTCCAGTCTTGGAGGCATTATCCAAGTCATTTTATCATCCCTGGGATTCTTGCCCAGGGATCACAGAACTTCTCTGTCCAATTATGTTTTCACACACACACATGCGTACGCACACACTGTTATTCATTTATTCAGGCAATATTGTTACATTCTGGTAGATTTAAAGTATTGTTACCAACTTCCTACCAGCTGCATAACAAAAAAAAGTGACATACTAAGTTGTACTGCTCCCAAAGGGTGTAATCCTACCATGTGTAAACTGAAAAATTTCCAACAATTTCTAGAATGTCCCAGTTGGATATGCTGGGAGTTGTAGCTTTTTATCCTCTTTAAATATACATAGGATTGCACTCAAGGATTTCAAATGAACTCTCCCATATTAAAGATTATATTTATTTATTTATTGGTTTTATTTATTGCCTGGATGTATCCAATTTTTATATTGTTATTTATTTGTTGGAAGCCGCCCCGAGGCTTATGCGAATGGGGCTGCATACAAGTTTCCCAAATAAATAAATAAATAAATAAATAAAATCTAAAGAAAAGTTAGGGAATTCAAATAATAATCTCAATCCTGCCTCACAAAGCTTTTGCCTTCTGGAAAGGATTCTGCAAAGGCTGAGCAAATAAGAACATGTTATTATTTGTAGCAGAGACCCTGTTTCATATTTCCATTATTTTAAAAATGTAATTCCTGCTAAGGCACTGTGCTGCATATGTTCATTTATCATATTGCATTATAATGTTTCAGTTACCTACCTTATCCTGCATATAATTAAATATATAGATGGGAGCATTCAAGGAAGAAATTCAAAAGGAAAACTACCATTTTCTAAGTAGCAACAAATGCAAAAGAACAAAGACAAACTTTAAGCAACAAGAAATTAAAATTCTTGACTTTGAAGAGTTTGTACGTGTCTGGTGAGATATTACTTTGTTTGTGCATCCCCATGCTGTATTAAAAATGGCTTCAGAACAGTCTTTCATTTGAATGCTGAAATAGATCACAGGCCTGTTTCTGGAAAACTCTCATTCCAAATCCCTTGTGGGCAGATGGATCTACTTGACTAAGCATCTTGGAAGAAGGGCTTATGAGCAACAAGGAAGATTATCCCACATGGCTGATGGAGGACAAAGCTCAAAATCTAATAAGCAGATATGCTATCTCCATATGGTCTTCAGTATTCATGTCTAGAAACTCCCAGCCAGCCAGCCATTAACTCACATTTTTAAAAGGTAATAAAATTACTTTACCATGACTATGAGGTTTTCTGAGGTAGGTCCTAAGGCTTCCAAGGATTCTGGTTCATCTGCTGGTCTTTTGTAATGGAAAGCTGTCCCAGCAACATCAAATTTTCTAGGCCAGTCAATAGTCCAGGCACCATTAACATAATAGTCATCTTCCTCAGATTTCAAAGCTTAAAAAAAGTGCAAAGTGCTTAAATATAGGAAGCAGCATGTAGAAGACAGACCACAGAGCTATTCTTAAGTGTATGTGTGTGAGTTATGTGGCAGGAGGTCCACCAATTGCCAAGCCCTGCTGGCTCACTGCAGCCAGGATAGCGGATGGAACTTTTCTCATTTTTAAAATTAGCTGTTTTTCCTTCTTTTTCAAAAATGTCTGCTTCTACTGAAACCAATTGGAGGGAAATCAGTGATACCAGTTTCTGAGCAGTTTACACACAGGTAAGGGTTGATAACTGTGATTGCAATATACAATCTATTTTTAAAATGATGAAAATGTTACTGTCCAAATGTATTCTGTTTGTTCCTAATTATTCTTTTGTGGTAGTCACAGTACAACTCTAGCTCTCTGAAGCAATTCTTCAAATATCAGTTTACTTTAGTTTACATTCTGTAACAAAGTAAATGTAGTGACTAAAATATTCAGTGGGTTTTCATTGTTCTCTAGGGTACTTTTGGGTAATATTTAACAAACATTTTTGTTACTGTGGCTGCAGTATTGATCCCCTGGCTTGGACCACAAACTGGCAAGATTCACTTGTGGTTGAACTGGTACAGTATTTCAGAGAAAAAAAGGGGGGACTGGGCAATACATCTTAGCAGTTAAAAAAAGGTTTGTTTTTCTCTCCCAAAAGATTTTATCTCAGCGTATATGCTAGCAACACTATTTGTCCTTACAACTTCCATTGTTGTTGTTAGTCGTGAAGTCGTGTCCGACCCATCGTGACCCCATGGACAAAGGCCTCCAGGCCTTCCTGTCCTCCACCATCTCCAGGAGTCCACCCAAGCTCACACCAACTGCTTCAGTGACTCCATCTAGCCACCTCATCCTCTGCCGTCCCCTTCTTCTTTGCCATCTATTGTTCCCAGCATCAGACTCTTTTCCAGGGACTCCTTCCTTCTCATTAGGTGGCCAAAGTATTTGAGTTTCATTTTCAGGATCTGGCCTTCTAAAGAGAAGTCAGGGTTGATCTCCCCTAGGACTGACCGGTTTGATCACCTTACGGTCCAAGGGACTCGCAGGAGTCTCCTCCAGCACCACAATTCAAAGGCCTCAATCCTTTTGCGCTCAGCCTTCCTTCTGCTCCAGCTTTCACAGCCATACATTGCAACTGGGAAAACCATAGCCTTGACTATAGACACTTTTGTTGGCAGGGTGATGTCTCTGCTTTTTAGTATGCTGTCTAGATTTGCCATAGCTTTCCTGCCCAGGAGCAAGCGTCTTTTAATTTTTTGGCTGCAGTCCCCATCTGCGGTGATCTTGGAGCCCAGGAAAATAAAATCTGTCACTACCTCCATTTCTTCCTCATCTATTTGCCAGGAAGTGAGAGGACCAGATATCATGATCTTAGTTTTCTTAATGTTGAGTTTCAAGCCAGCTTTTGCGCTCTCCTCCTTCACCCGCATCAAGAGGCTCTTTAGTTCCTCTTCACTTTCTGCCATGAGAGTGGTATCATCTGCATATCTGAGGTAGTTGATATTTCTCCCAGCAACAAACATTCTTTGGCATTGCCCTTCTTTGGGATCGGAATGTAAACTGACCTTTTCCAATCCTGTGGCCACTGCTGAGTTTTCCAAATTTGCTGGCATATTGAGTGTAGCACTTTTACTGCATCGTCTTTTAGGATTTGGAATAGCTCAACTGGAATACTGTCACCTCCACTAGCTTTGTTTTTGCTCAGACTTCCGAAGGCCCACATTCCTAAGGCCCATTGACTTCACATTCCAGGATGTCTGGCTCGAGGTCAGTGACCACCCCATCATGGTTATCAGGGACGTTAAGCTCTTTCTTGTATAGTTCCTCTGTGTAATCTTGCCACCTCTTCTTAATCTCTTCTGCCTCTGTTAGGTCCCTGGCATTTTAGTCCTTTATCATGCCCATCTTTGCATTAAATGTTCTCTTCATATCTTCAATTTTCTTGAAGAGATCTCTGGTCCTCCCTATTCTATTGTTTTCTTCTATTTCATTGCACTGTTCATTTAAGAAGGCATTCTTATCTCTTCTAGCTATTCTCTGGAATTCTGCATTCAATTGGGTGTATCATTCCTTTTATCCCTTGCCTTTCGTTTCCCTTCTTTCCTCAGCTATTTGTAAAGCTTCCTCAGACAGCCATTTTGCTTTCTTGCATTTCTTTTTCTCTGGGATGGTTTTAGTTGCTGCCTCTTGTACAATGTTGTCAACCTCCGTCCATAGTTCTTCAGGCACTCTGTCTATCAGATCTAATTCCTTAAATCTATTTGTCACCTCTACTGTATATTCATCAGGGATATGATTTAGGTCATACATGAGTGGCCTAGTGCTTTTCCCTACTTTCTTCAACTTAAGCCTAAATTTTGCAACCAGAAGCTCATGATCTGAGCCACAGTCAGCTCCTGGTCTAGTTTTTATTGACCGTATAGAGCTTCTCCATCTTTGGCTGCAGAGCACATAGTCAATCTGATTTCTGTGTTGACCGTCTGGGGATGTCCATGTATAGAGTTGTCTCTTGGGTTGTTGGAAAAGAGTGTTTGCTATGACCATCATATTCTCTTGACAAAATTCTACCAGCCTGTGCCCTGCTTCATTTTGTACTCCAAGGCCAAACTTGCCTGTTATTCCAGTTATCTTTTGGCTTCCTACTTTAGCATTCCAATCCTCCATGATGATAAGGACATCATTTTTTGGTGTTAATTCTAGAAGGTGCTGTAGGCCTTCGTAGAACTGGTCAACTTCAGCCTCTTCAGCACCAGTGGTTGGGGCACAGACTTGGACTATTGTGATGTTGAATGGTTTGCCTTGGATTCGAACTGAGATCATTCTGTCATTTTGGAGATTGTATCCCAGTACTGCTTTTCCTACTCTTTTATTGACTATGAAGGCTACTCCATTTCTTCTGAGGGATTCTTGCCCGCAGTAGTATACCTGATGGTCATCTGAATTAAATTCACCCATTCCTGTCCATTTTAGTTCACCGACTCCTAAGATGTCGATGTTCAGTCTTGTCATCTCTTGTCTGACCACATCCAGCTTGCCTTGATTCATGGATCTTACATTCCAGGTTCCTATGGAGTATAGATCTTTGCAGCATCGGACTCTCCTTTCACCACCAGATACATCAGCAACTGAGTGTCCTTTCGGCTTTGACCCAGTCGCTTCATTCTTTCTGGTGCTACTAGTACTAGGCCTCTGCTCTTCCCCAGTAGCATACTGGACACTTTCCGACCTGAGGGGCTCATCTTCCGGCGTCATATCTTTTTGCCTTTTGGTAATGTCCATGGGGGTTTCATGGCAAAGATACTGGAGTGGGTTGCCATTTCCTTCTCCAGTGGATCACATTTTGTCAGAGCTCTCTGCTATGACCTGTCCGTCTTGGGTGACCCTGCACGGCATAGCTCATAGCTTCATTGAGCTACTCAAGCCCCTTCGCCACGACAAGGCAGTGATCCATGAAGGAGACAACTTCCGTGGTGACCATTTTAATAATCTACATTTACCACACTGCTATTAACTCCTTTAGTACCCAGGAATGGAACAGCTTAACAGTTCACAATGGAATAGACACATTGCTTATCTTTATCTGTATTTCTTCAAGTTTTCATCTGTGAATTTGCATTTTGGAAAATTTCTATAGCTGAGGAATTTTGGTGAATGTCCGTAGTGGTGTTCCTCGAGATTGTTCATTGTAACACAAAGAGAAAATTTTAGTATCCAACACTGAAATCAACAATGATACTAAGGTGGATGGATGGGAGGGGTGTTATGTGAATACAACAGATGACCACTCATAGAAGTTACAGGTAAGCAACTTGTCTTTCTCCATCATGGTGTCTGTGCATCATACATAGGAGCAAGTAGCAAGCTGACTTACCATATCCTATTGCAAAACAGAGGAGATGACCAAACACCCAAAAGAGCAATCATTTCTGGTCTGCACAGCCAATCAAGAGTAACAGATAAAAGTCAACAGCTTATCAGGTTGCAGTCCAGTAGAGTTCAGGAATGGCAGTTCCCTTGGTGAATGCCACTGAAGTGTCTATCACATAAATTTACTGAGCTTCAGTTGGGGTAGGCATCAACCAACTGTATGTTTCAACAATTCATGAAGCAAGATGTTCTGCAGAGATCGGATGACCACATCGGATAAGCTTGCCACCACAGCACATGAATAGACCATTGAATAGAACACTGTTGAAATGGCTCAGCTCTCAACTTGTACAAAGCCAGCATCTTACAAACCTCAAGGGCGTGAAAAGTTGACTCAAGTGGGATAGAAGAAGACAAGAATGCAAGAAGTATGATGTCCACATTAAGATGACACTGTGACCCCACCTTAGGTAGAAGGTTACAAGAAACAGCTTGCCTTAATGAAAGGGAGGGTAAAGAGTACCATTATGCAGAATATATACTTAGTTGAGTGCTAGGCCAATGTAATGGCAATCAAGAACCCAGTCTTTTAATTCAATAAACAGAATAATATTTGCAAGTGTCTTAGAAGGCTTCTTGACAGAGCCTGAAGAATGATGAAGATTCTCCAAATTGGTACTATTTGTTAGACTGGAAGAGCAAGGTTCTAGGTGTCCAGAGAAATTGCTTTGCTGTCAATTGCAAGAAGATGGAAAAACATTCAATAGGAAGGTGAGCAGAAGAAACTGTGGCAACATATTTGTAGAGAGAAAACTTTTAAGCCTTTGTTAAAAAGCGACAGAAAAAAAGAACTAGGTGCAAGAGCACCTAATCGGATTAAACCTTTCAATTGTGCTGAAGGCGCAAACCACAGCCCACTTAAAAGTATAGGATAAACTGAACGTTTATGAGCAACACTAGAATATACCAAATCAGAGGAGGGCAGAATCATCAGTAGTGACTGGCAGATTCTTTACCACCATGTGGAGTGTCTGAAGGTCCAAATGCAAAACAGAAGATGAATGTTACTGCCCTTTCCTAAGAGAAGAAGAGTGAATCAAGGCTGTTGTTATCACCATGAGGTGATGAGAATGCACTTTAGTGCTCTTCACTTAGACCTTTCCTGGGACTCTCATGATGAATGGAAAGACAGAGGAAAGGGAAGATGAAGACATTCCTCATAGATTCCAGATTGTGCTCAGCTTGATTGCCAAAAACTGGGCAGAGTGTTCCCCTGGCAAAAAGATTAATTTCTATCATGCTCCAACAGCAAACATGTCTGTGAGGATCCTGTAGTCCAGCTTCAACTTGCAAGAGCTTTGCAGTGTCTGGTAGTGTCCAGCTTGGCCCAGAGAAAGAATTCAACTAGAGTTGAGGAATATGCTGACACAGCAGACATCAGAGGGGCTGGTTGAAGCCTGAGTCATAGGCTTGTTCAGTACCTCTCCAAGTGCATTCTTCCACAAGATAGCACAAAGATGATCAGAATAATTGTATCAGGCTTGCTCTATAAAAGCTTGGCAGTGGGCCTTCTTCAAGGCAGTGCCTTCTCCAAGGCAGAAAAAGCATGCATTCAGGAGTGGTAACTTCTTGTCAAAATGGGTTTTTGGAATGTTGTCCAGAGGGCTATATGCCCATAGGGGCAATGACAGGATCATGGGAAGGAGGGAAGCAACACAATAAAAAACAATAGAAAATATAACAGAAGAATAAAACTTCTGAAAAGGTAGGAAAAAGTTCCAGTAAGCTAGGAACTGTCCTGTGCACAGGGACAGTGAAATTCCCTCCAAAATTCCTCAGAGGCAGAAGTATCCTAACATAGGTTTCTACAGGTTCCTTATGTATGATGCACAGAAACCATAAAGAAGAATGCATTTGCTATTTATCAGCTCAAGAGGTCTCTGAAGGCAAGAAACCAGTGGAGAATTTCCTAAACTCTCTAGTACTACTAACTCTCAATTAAAAAAGAAAGAAACAAAAAAGAAATAATGCTCCAGATAAGCCTTTCCTTCATGCTGTGTACAGTGAAAGGACCCCAGAGGAAAAAAACTCTGGAGGAAAAGGAAAGGAAATAAGTCCCAATAAAATGGGACTTCAAATTTCAAATTTTTTATTTGAAAGAAAAAAATTAACATGCATAGAATGTCACCATTCAGTTTGACCCTAATTCTCTGAAACTGTATGCAATATGTTATGTGCCTTACTTTTGTTATTTGAATCCAACAACTTTTATATAGTTTCACACTTAATATAAGAGCATCCTCTTACCAATGTAGTTCTTTGACACTGCCACTTCTTTTATTTCAATGTGAACAGAACCTTTTGGAATCTGAACCACTTCCATGTAGCCTACAAGGCAAAGGTGAACCTTGTTTTACTGTTAATAACTATATTTAACTCTGCAAATTTTCTAGGAGCTAAAATAAAAAAATTGAGAGGATTCAAAAGGCCCAAACAGTTTTCATATGATGCCAAGAACGCAGAGGCTTTAAAAGGAACAAAAAGTTGTACTTCAACCCCAGAATTTTTAATATGAAGTAATAAAAACTACTTTTGCTTCCTTTATATGATCAATATAGTCTTATAGTATGCCTATCATGGGGGAAGATGGAGGAAGGATGATAATGCAGTGTTGGATGAAAAGTAGGCTGCAGATTTAATATTAACCAGCACCAGAAATAGTCTGAAAAAACTGGGAGAGACTCAAGTATAGTAATAGAAGCCCAGTCATGCTCAGTCCAACTGCTGGATAGAATGCAATGGAAAAGATTGGTATCAGCAAGTTATTGCTGCCTTTACCCACACCTTGCAGAGTAGTGACCTCACAGTCAATAAAATGTGGCTTTTACTTTCACACATACCTCCTCTAGGCAATGTGTCATTGCAAAAACCTTCAATAGCTTCACATGTACTGCCATCTCCTCCACATACCCGACACCTGTCTTCTTTAGCATCAGATCCCAAAATATTGTCACATCCAACATGCTGAAGAGGCACAATCAGAATAATTAAAATCAAGGGATTTTCGTTTTTGCTCAATTAAATATGGGCTGTTCTCGTACACAGAACATTACTGTTAACTGAATAACATTCTTCATTTAGTCAAAAATTGTGAAATCTCACTTGCCTTCTATGTTTTTTCAGTTTTATAGCCGTGATAATATAAACACACACATACACAATGGTTAAGCTATTATTTCCTCACATTCCATCCTTAAATATTTGCACCACATATATTTACAATGCACAGGACACTATACTTCATGTCACAGCATTATGTAATGTTTTGTGACACAGCATGGTATACTTGCTATTATGGCTGAAACTAAGTGTTTAACACTCATACATCTTAGTTTTAGATTATTAACTTTCAGTAATTAGAAGAATCCCTGAATAGTGGTTACAGTATTTTCTAGTTTTCATACACAAGATCCAAATTTCATGAAAAAGTGTGATTTTAAAAAGAAAAGGTGGTTCCACCTGGGATGTAATTCAAGGGCATATGCAACATTACAGTAAAATGCAGAATGATATCCTATCAGCAGCTTTTCTAGTTAACATCTGAAATTTAGAAAGGCAAATCACTGAGACTGACACAAAGTGCTGTTAGTTTGGAAACAGCTCTTCCCCTTGCCCAACCCAAAGAAAGAAAAAAGAAATTACAAATCATTTCTTTTCACTGGCAGCTCTTGCATAAGAGGTGGGGAAATGTTACTTCCATGTAAAGTTTATTACTACTAAATAAATAAGTAGGGCACCTTGCATTCTCCATTTATGCAAATATCCAGTGAATCTGCATTGCACTGGGTTCCATCTATTACTGCAGGGGCACGTTCAGTATAAAAGTTGTAACCTTCTGCTAAGCAGTTTAACGCACATGGCTTAACCCCACCTAGAAAAATGAAAGCATTTTTTTAAAATATAGAATTCCTGAATTTGAAATAACAACTGTATGAAAGCTAATATTAATTCAATTTCCCCCAAATAGTCACATACATTTTAATTTATTAATCCACAGCTCAAAGGGTAAGTGTCATCAAAGTGTCATCTCCCCCATTAATCCTGCATTCTTTTCCTTGACTCCATCACAGATGCAGTTTCTGTGTAGCTTCCTGCCCCATCTCATTTGATGCTATTAGATTAGTTGCTTGGATGTCCAGGAAGAATGGGACTGCCTTAGAAATGGGTCCCCAGCCTTTTCTGGTATGCCATGGGAGGGTTTTTCATCGGGATCCATTAGCCTCAATGGCTGGACCATTTTTAAAGGTTCCCCATTCTTGTAGAGGGAAAAGGGAGCCAAAAGTCTAAACCTCAATAGGAAGGCATCTGACCATGACAAGGGCATCAATATTAATATTAATTCCCCCACTTCCAGATTACTATCCTCCTGTCCAATTAAGAAAACCAAGTGTGTGTCCTTTTACATGAGTTGGGGCAATAACATGTTGAGACAGCCCCATGGTTGTCATGGTGGCCATGAAGTCCTGAGTTGCTCTGGATACAACAGCATTGGCATGGAAGTTAAGATCCCCCAGAAACATCATTCTAGGGGTCTTCAACACCATGTATAAGACCAACTCAGTTAGCTAAGGTAGGGAATCTGATTAAAAGTGGGTGGGTAGTATACAAGCAGAATTCCTAATCTGTCTTGGGCACCCGGCACATGGTACAAACACTCAAAACCTACACTTGACGAGCCTAGATCATGGCCACCCACTCCCTCCCTGGCTCTCAAGTCAATTTTGGTGGTGTACCTAGTACTCAGGAGGGCACAGATGAACGTAACCCTTCCCAGTTTACCCATCCACGTATCACTGATACAAGCCAGGTCAGCTTCCTCATTCACAATCAACTCATGGATGAAGGATGTCTTATACTGGGCCGACCTGACATTCAGCAGCAGCAGCACCTGAACTGAGGGCAGGCTTGTAAGGATGCCATGAATCATCCAGTTAGTGAAAAAACCAGAAGATGGAACTTCTTCTCTGGCTTGTTGATTCCCCAACACCATACCTCCCACTATCTGAGACTACAATAATGGGGGTACCCCCTTGCTTCCCAAAGTTGTCCAGAGACATAATTAAAACAGATACGATAAAAACAATAACAACTATTAAAACAAACTGGCTGCTATAGTTCTAGGTTTATCAATACCACTTGCTGTGAGACTGCCTCTTCCCACACCTACCCACTGTAGTCCCAAACCATTCATCAAATGGGCACCAAATTGGCAATTCTCTTTGGCATCACCCTTCAGCTGCTGCCCAAGGGCACTGCCTTGGTCTTTTTTCCCAGTAGTAGGCCACTGATGGTGACAGCCCTGCTTCTGAAGCACAGTTGCTGCCTCTCCAGCTGGGGCAGGTGACCACTACACAGGGATGGCAGGTAGGGAATTTTATTTATTGCACAATTGTTTGCTATTCCCAAAAATAGACTATGCAGTATGATAAACTGGATTTATTTTGTCTGAAAAGGAAACTCACATCTATGAATAAAGGCAACTTAATAACATTGGGTACAAGTCAGACTTTTTCCAGTAAAGAAAAAACCCAGGTATGCACCTGCACCAAGCTTTGTTAGTCTCAAAACCAGTAAGAATGGTTTTGACTTGGCTTGAGGTAACTGTTTTTCCTGGGCATTATAGATGCACTAGGGTCATTGGCTAGGTGGAGGCTGTACAGACCAGCATACAGTGGCCACACTGGATGAAGCAAAAAGTTTGGATGCAGGATATTCAAGTGCTGCCGATTCATCCAGCAAATCTGATGTAGCCATACAGCCACTTCCCCCATGTAAATGCTGCAACAAACTCTGGAATAGATACTACTTCAGTATAGCCGACCATCCCTTCTAACACACCTGCTCAGCTACAGATTGGCTCTGGCTAGTCCCTTCATATACTTCAAGCAGGAATAACTGGCCTACAAGACTGGTCATGCCTTGGTGGACCTCCCTATGGACTGCTAATTGCCTTATCATAACTTCCTCTTCAAATACAAGACAATGGGCTATAGAGGGAGGGCTTAGATATAGGAACCAGCAGAAGTGCATATCCCATCCCCAAATAATTCCTTAACCTCTATTCTACATAAGAAAGCCTGGAGCAAGATCATACTCAGGATTACCAACACACATATTACCTCCTGTATAGGGTTTCCAGTTGTAGTATTTTCCTCGGAAAGGCATATTGTCAAAATCTGCACATTGTTTTTCACGGAAATCACGGGCTCCAAATGGACATGGCTAGCAAAAAAAATAAAAGAAAAAGTTAATGCATGCTAATATTGAATATTAAAGGCATATGTAGGGGTCTTACTGATTGTACCTTAAATTAGCAAGGAAGCTCATTTGCATGGAGTAAGGTAGACTTACAGTTTCTATCAGCCTGTTGAAGTTCTTGTAAAAGATATTGCATTATACAATAAAAGTGCTTGCAAACAACCTTATTAAATACAGTGTATTTTTAACCTATCCTACTCATGAATGCACACCGTAACATGGTGTGGGGATTTGAGAGTTGGAATGTATGAGGAATCTGTTCTAAGGCTAGGAATCTCTCTGATTCCCTAGGCTTGGATTCTGAGACTCCAGCACACTTTCCTGGAGTTCTCAGTTAGTGTTTCTGGTAAGCATGCCCAGCCTTCATACATCACTCACCAGAAGTGAACACTATGTGACCTCTGTTGAGGCCTCTGTGCAAGCAGGATCCCTTCTCCATGTCATGTGCAGCAGCCTTTATGCTGCATTTGAAGTGGAGGAAGGTTGCTGCTTGTGCAACCTTTATTCTGTAAGTGTCCACAGACTTTCTCTTGGCTTGGCTTGCTTTTTAAAAGAGGGACAAGAATGACAGGAAGTCTGAGAATACTAGAGAGACAGATCCTGTGAAACTGCCTTGCAACCCTATTTGAGACTGACAGTAATAACACCAGGAGGTCAGACTTTCTCACTGGGCCAGTCTCCTAGTAGGATCACTCAGAACAGAATGGTCAAAGTTGAGAAAGTGGACTAAGATGCACTCATCCTCTTCAGGAGTAATGGCCATATCAGTTGAAGTGAATAAATATATCTAATGATGATGGAGGCAGAGAAACTCTTGAAGGGCAGCTACAAGGAAGCAGTAGTAGTTGAAAATGACACTGGTAGAGGATCTTTCACAGACAGTGGCAGAATTAGTACTGCACAGAAGGCAGCAATGATAAACTACTTCTGAATATTCTTTCCTTGAAAATCCTATTATGAAAAACTCCAAAATAAATCGAGGATAATTCAAGTGCAGTGTTTCCTCAAATATGCATTAACAGTCAAACAGACAGCAACTGGATAGCTTTATTCTGCACTAACAAAAGTTTCTGAATAGTTTTTAAAAAACAAACAAAGATAAAGTAATCCAGTCTGGATGTAACCCAAGGATGAATAACTGCAGCAAGATCTACTGTGATGTAGCTGGTGGATCAGCCAAAGCTGACAAAATTCACCACTGGTAACCAATGCCTCCTTCACTTCCATAGATAGTCCAGAGTTCAGGAAAAATCTCAGGTTGTATACTTAGTCCTTCAAGAAGAATAAAACCTCATCCAACACTAGTGCCTTCTGGATTAAGCCTCAGGTCATTTCCCCTCATCTGTCTCAAAACTACTTTGAAACATTTGTTCACGTTTCCACAGTCTCCCAAGGACCTACTGAAGAAAAAGAAAGGCAGTCTGCATGACACCTGCCTTTCTATATGGCAGTAGGCTTAACAGAATATATGGGACATCAAAGTAAAAATCCTATGACTTCACTGTAATACTGTTTGTGGGAAGGAAGGAAATTCAGGTAGTCTGCTTCTTTATCAGGAACACTGAAACTGCAGCCCTGTGCCCATTTACTTGGGAGTAAGTATACTTGAACTCAATGGGACTTACTTCTGAGTAGATACATATGGGATTGTGCTATGTTGTTGTAGTTCAGTCACAAAGTCATGCCCAACTCTTTGTGACCCCATGGACAACATTCCTCCGGGTTCTCCTGTCCTCCACCATCCCCCAGAATCCACCCAATCTCACACCCACCTCTCCAGTGATCCCATCCAGCCACCTCAAGCTCTGCCATTCCCTTCTCCTTTTGTCTTCAATTGTGCTGTAAAGCATACCATTTAATCTAAACACAATGTTAGGGATACCTGGTGAAGCTGGTAGTTCCTCGTCAATTTTGTTTCCAGTTACTAGACTACATTTATTCAGGTTCCCTCAATTTTAATGTTAGCAAGTATGCTATCCATCAAAAGGTTAGTGTTTGGAAGACTTTGAGAAAAAATGGGTCTACTAGGAATTGCCTGCATTGATTTCAAAGGATGAAAAGGGTGAAAAAAAACAGAGAAAAAAGTAGCTTGTCTTTGAAGTAAAAATGCAACCAAGAGCATTTTTGTTTATGAATAGTAGGAACTTTAGGGAGGAATACTTTTTAAATTACAAAAGGAACAGCAAATGCTGACACAAGACAAATGCTACAGAAATCAGTGGGTGCAAGCAACACATTTTTCATACAAATAATGACAAGCACACAAAACATGTGGCCTTTAACATACACATTAATCAAAAGTCTCTTTCCTCAAATGATTTTCACTTCAAAGAGTATGGAGTAATTAGATACTTTATAAATCCTGAAAATGAATCTGTCTCAGCAACTTTGCATTTCATTAAATACAAATTGATGGATTTAATTAATCTGTTGCTACTAAGAATTGCTACAGTTTTCCAATCAGCATTTAAGTTATAGTTTAATTTAAAGTGCCAAATGTCAGGACATTTTTACATCTTTATGACATTATACATATTCAAAAGTGTGCACTTAAAAAGGTAACTATTAAAATATTTGAGTAAGATAAAATATGTTCAATATGTTCAATAAAACAATGTTCAGTATGTTCACTGAAAAGTGTTCACTATCTACCATCATACCTCACAGTAACAGTAAATATTAGAGGGGCAGAAAGGTGGCATACAAATATTTCTATAAGTAAAAATAAATAACATGGAATAGAACTGCACAAATTGCTATTGTTTGTATTTCTTAGTTAACAAAATCCTCTGTGGATAACACTTAATAAAGTTCAATAAAATACAGTGGAGTACAAGCAGAACATCTGAGATCCCTGTCACACAATAAATGTAGTTCTAACACATTTAAATTTCTATATCCTACTGTTTTTACGAAAGGGAAGACTGGATGAAGATGATCTTTATGCCAGTCTTTCTAATTTAAACAGTATTGTTTATAGCTAAACTTTACTCCAACATTTTTATCAGGCTGCAGTGGTGCTGGGGGGTCAAGTAAAAAGTAAGGGTCATCTTCACCTCTGCCAAGAAGACAGCCTCATCATACTTTGCCTTTCCCTCAGCTGTTATCCAACAGCCATTCAATCAGCCAGAAGCAGGAGTGCAGGGGAAAGCACAGCTCCCTATATGCCACACACAACACTGTGACAGCCAAATTGAAGAAGCAACTTTGAATATTTCCTCAAAATAGATAACAATTATTTATATGTGATTCATTTAAATATCTGAGAAAATGTTGTACTTCTATTTTGCTGTTTTCTGAATGTAAGTATGGTTTCAACATAGGTTAATTAATACCCCGACTGTTCTGCCAAAGAAAAGTGCGCAAAGCAGTCTACAAGAAGATCCAGAATAAAAATAAATTCTTAGGTAAAACATTGCATAAAAACTGCCTCTGAGGGCAGCAGTTCCAAGAGAAAATCTCCACTCCCCCCATACACACACACGCGCGCGTGAGAAAGAGTTCTTAAAGACTGAGTGGGTTCATATGGGAGACAGTATTCTTTCAGACTGCCTGCTTCTAATGCAGATACGGTTTCCTTAGACATTTGACATGAACATTCTCTGTATCTCACCTCCCTTTAATTTTTATTGTATTTGTACAATAAGTAGAGATGAGCTATATAATCACAGGTTTAAATATTCTAATATTTATATAAACACTGCTTTGAATTCCTTGGTAGACAGGCAGTTTACAAACTGTTTAAATACATAAGTAAAGTTTAGACAGATAAATAAAACTTGGGACCAACAATGGACAATGGTGTCTTTTTTAATTTTTTCTTTGTTCTTATTAGTGTAGCTATGCTAAGCTTCCACAGAATTGAATGTTGATGCAGACACAATGTTTCAGATGTGCAGCATCTGTCTCCATCCATATGTATGCATATTGTGATGTTCTTTGGTTCCTACTTCAATACTTCCATGTGTCATTCCTCTACAGTATCTACAAGATTCATACATTCCTGTTTTTTAGCATTGGTATTAAATATTTTAAGCCCTCAGACTTGTCAACGCATCTCCTTTTTATTTATATATAATTAGGTAATTAAGGGTGCAACCCTATGAACCTCCAATGTTGTTGGGGGAGGGGTACTATAGGATCATATGGGGGCCCAGTTCCACAGTCCTGTGACATCGAAGCCCCCACTCTGTCCTTCTCAAAGCCAGCAGGAGGAAATAGGGCAAGCTACTTCTCCAAGGTTACAGTGGAGCCTTGGAAAGATGGAAAAGGCCAAGGAGCAGGAAAGGAAGAAGACAGGGCTCATGGCTCCTCCCCTCCCTGGCATTAAATCTAGACAGCTAAAAATGGCCAACTAGGTAAAATATATTGTGCAAGGCATGGCAGTGATTGCCACTGCTGTACCACACTCTGTGCATTCGATGCAAGTAAGCTCATAGGGTTCCATATATCTGAGGCAGAGGGCATTGGATTGCACCTAAAATCTGCCCTGTTTCTTTGTGGAAAAAGTAAAGTATTTTACATTAACTTTGATTTACTCACATCAGTATTACATGAGCGATATCGTTTTCTTTCTCCAAGACAATATTTTCCTCCACCTGAAGGTCTGGAAAAAATAGGATGCATTTTAGCAATATGTACATAGAAAGAAATAATGAAAAATGCACCAGAGTGCATATTTTAGTTACTTCACAATTCAGATTATACTATTTATTTTTAAAACTTCAGATTTACGTGATATTAATCCAATTGGCAATTATATATCATCTACAGAAGATGAATTTCTTCTATTTTTGTTTTTATGCCAATTAAAAAAAGAAAAAATATGGAAACATTGTATATTATTCTAAAAGGCAAAATTAATTCTAAAGCTCTATACGCCACATCAGTGAAAATGTGCAATACTGAAAGTCCTATTTTATTTGTATATTATATTTATATTCCACCTTTTTCTGTTTTGCAAGGAATAGCTTTAAATGTTGCATTACTGCAAGATTTTATTATTAAAATCTTTATTTTAAAGATTTAAAGCTTTACTGCATAGAATATTTTAGTATCAACCTAAGATTAATTAAAATTAAGAGCATACCACTTTTCTATTATTAAAGTAAAGTAACTACTCTCTAGTACCTGAATGCCTTCTTATTTCAATACTAAAATTATAAATGTGGGGAAAAATAAATTAACATCAGTGATGTTTCTCTGAATGTACAGAATTGATCTGAGGAAGATATACTATCATTATTAAGACTCCTATATATTTATAGCTTAAGTTGATGGAAACATTTACTTGTTTCTGTTAACAGAAAAGTTAGAACCAGTATATGGCTGATAATTAACTGCAAATCATTTAGTCTATTTCATTTTAAAAATGAATTGAGGTTGCTGTAGGTAGGTAAAAACAGGGTCACTTAAAAATAAGTTGTTTTATCTTAAACTTTTAGTTTTATATGTTTTATTTGCAGTTTTATATGTAAGACTGGTCAGGTTCCAAAGTACTGTGCAACTAGTTCTGGACTTCCAAAGGAAATTTGTGTCCAAATCTGATGGCAAATTACTTTTAACCTGGGGGAAGTTTCAATCACAGTTTATGATATTACATAGCGGCATCCTGTTCAAAAACCTTCATTAGGGGAGTGCAAGTCTTTGAATGTGTTTTTTTTTTCCTAATTTAGCACACTGCCTTTAAAAAAAATCACATGCAAATGTAACTTGAATAATTCCTCGTGCAACCATATTCATGGCTACTCAGACATAAACCCTGCTGAGCAATGGAATATTTCTCCCAGATAAGCCCCAGAAGACTTGAATCAAGTATTAACCAAGCGAAAGGCACATTTTTATTTTGAAATGTTTATTATTATGAGAGTTGGCAAAGTTAAATTATTTTGAAAAACATGTTTAAGGACTATCCAGGCACTCTGACATGACCAGGAGATGAGATAATTATCACAACATCCTTGGGTTAGATAGAGTTAAAATATATTCTAGGTTTGCCTTTTCCCTTAAACCAGAATTCACCTATTGATTATTTAATGTGTTGTTATAATATCATTTTCTGTGACTTCTGGTAAAAAATCAAGCTATCATATAATAGTTATACTATCTTCTGATAAATATAGTTCCTTAAAACTATGTAATATGCAAACTGAGTAAAACTGTCACAAAATCTCTTATTTTAATACTGAAGGGCCAAATATAATCAACATGATCCAGCCAGCTTAAACAATTTACAACCCTGTTCATTTCAATGAAGGGAGAGTTAAATGTGCTCACCTTGCTGAATGCACACACTAATGTTAGATGACATTGTTGAATGTCCAAAAGATCAAAAAGTGAGCACAGAGCAGTATGCACAAGAACTTCCATGTTTTCTTCTATGTGAAGGTGAATGCTGTCACAGATGATGGGAAATACTCATTAACACCTAGAATGGTTTACTTCCCATAGAAATAAAATAGAAGTTCCTCTTGCTGGATTGGAGCCTACTTAATTTGATTAAGCCTACTTAATTTGTGTGTTTAAATGTACCAAAGTGTACTGTTATGTATGAAAACATGATTTAAGGTGTGCCTTTCCACATTTTACAGAACCCAGTGACTCTTAATGCTGGTGTTGAGGAGGAGGAAAATACATTTTTAATGTTAGCAGCAGCTGCTGAACAGACTCTAAAATGAATTATGCAAGTAAGCATTCACTAAAATCAGTGAGACTACTCTGCATGCTGAGTTTGGCAGTAAAGGTTTCTAGCAGAAAAGATTAGAAAGGGATGTCTAATCCTATAAATTTTGGCAATAAGAGGAAGGGTAGACTGCACTGTGAAGCCATTCCATAAGAAAGCAGAGCTCCAAGCTCCCCAAAGCATACAGGAGGATTTAGCAGCCTGTCCCTATTAAAAGGATAATGTAAAAGCTTGTACGGGAACAACCTTGCATTAAAGAACTAACACAAGGTATATAAGAGGAGGAATATGAAAGTATAATTGGTTATTACTGAACAAGGCAAAAGTGATGGATAACTATAAATGCCCTAGTATATTGTTATTGCTGATAGTAAAGTTGGAGCAAAATTTTTGAATTTAAAACTGAAGTGTTCTCTTTTTTAAATGTCTGATGAATTGCCATCTGATATACTATCTTCAAGGCTCCTAGAGACTGCTATCTCTCTCTTTACCAGAATGTAAAAAAAAGTTAATCTGCCTTGTAAAAGAGGGTTTGTTTCAAGATATTAAAAAAATATTTGTGGTAATATAAAGAATTGGATCAATTGCTGTTGTGAGGTTTCCAGGATACATAGGTTTTGTTTTGCCCTTCAATTCTGCCTGTATGTGGAGCAATGCAGAGGGAGAAAAGGAAGAAACTATTGGGGTGCATGGGGAAAAGAGTGGGGTTTTGTGTGGGATGGAGTCTTGGAAATAGAAACTTAATAGGATATTAAATAGTGAACCTGGGACTACTGTGCACCTGGAGAAAGGAGAAAAGGATTCCCCTGCAGAAACAGGAATAAGCTGGTAGTATGAATAGCCCATGCTACAAAGATTCTTGCAGTGAAGTTGCTTTGCAGTCATCAATATGCTCTCAAATTTCTCAATCTTCCTTCCCTCTTCAAATGCCTTTATCAAAATTAAAATATGATGTTTGCTTATAATGTAGTATTTGCATCCCATTCTTCCTCCAAGAAGTTCAGTAGCACAGACCAGCTCACACCCAGGTATTGGCCAAAGATGTAATTATATTGTATTCCTCTACAATGTTTCCTAGAGATAATCAATGCTGGAAGGATAAGAAGGCACTTATAAAGATTTGCCAAAATTCCATCCTGAATTATTTTCAGGTCTCTTTGCCTTCATTCCCTGTAATTTGGTGCTGGCCTATTTTAGTCTCCTCTTTCAAATGTACAAGACTACAAAACCTGGATCCCATGGGGAACTGAGGTGTGCCTGCACCTGCTATTGCAACAGGGAAAAGGGCTACAAGGTAAACTATTACAAGATAAATCAGCACCAGGATGGAACTTCAAGATGCAATCCAGGTATTTGTTCAGATCGTAAGGGTTAGCCAACAAAAGCATGCAGGATGGCTGAATTGGACAAAGCACAAACATTATGCTGATAGAAGAGAAAAACTACCTAAATACAGTGTTTCTTTTCTTCTTTAAGAGTCTTCCTCCTATAATAATATTGCCAGGAAATCTAACATTCCTCTTTTTCCCCTTTCCCTTTTCCTGGATCTTAACACTAGGAGATTTCTGCTTTCTGAATTTTCTGTCTGAGGCTATCCCACATTCTCATTTGAGGCAAGCTGTTATCAAAGCTGTGGTGGTTTATGGCAACAGCACATGTACTCATACTGACAATGGAGTTATTCATGGAAACAGATTTCAATATTGCAGCAGTACTTCTGCCACTGCAATGACACAATTGTACACTCACTTTATCTGTGAGCAGTTCACAAAATGTTTATCCACATGATTTCAAACCTGGGAATGGTCGGAAAGGGTTAAGTATTATATGAACTGGATGTAAAAATGATCTGCTTTCATGTTGCTCTTTGATTTCAACTTTTAAGGGGGCAAAGAAAATCTGGGTGGGAAGCTTCTGAGTAAAAGGAGCAGTAAGAAAATACAAACACAGGTTGTCTGGGGAACAATGAATAGTAACTGGATAAAAAGCCAGGCAATGAATATAGTAAGATGAGAGCACAATAATGTGAAAAACTTCAGGGCAGTTAGGAGTCCAGATTGTCTGCTGGTTACAAGGAGGCAACCCCCACTTAAAAGCCAGCTGCTGAGCTCACATGGCTCCATCCATACTACTAAAGACTGCTGAGAACCCTGTCTAAACATATAGTCCATCAGCTTCGTAACAGTGATGTATACTGGGGGAAGGACAGTTAAAATTATAATTGATTTTGCAAAGTATGGGCACTTTGTTACATTTCTTTCCTATCTTCATCCTTTCCCTATACATAAGAAAATTATAACAGCTAAAATATGCTCCAAGGTAACTGCAGTGAGATTGACTTTGGAACAGCTGTTACCTGATAAGTTATCATAACTAGACAGGAGGAAGAGAATCCTAAACATCTTTGAAAACAAGGGAGAGAGTTCTTGTTGGCCATGTCAGATTGAAATAAAAGCAGCAGTCTTTATGGATTTGCATAAGTTTCTGTTCCCTTCATGGAAATCAACAATGAGGGGAGGAGTAATCCATGCATGTATGTATGTGTGCAAAGCTCTTGTCATAAGAAGGCTGCAGTTCAAGTTTTACCCACCAACACCATCATTAGATAGTATGTAAATGATTTTACAGGTTGGAAGTGTGACACCAAAGTAAAGATAGCATTTGAGCTCTTAGCAAGATGTAATTAACAACAAAGAGGACAGGTTTCCATACTAACTGGCAACATCATAAGAGCTTGTCTGGGACACTCACAGCACAACCCTACATAAATCTACTTAAAAGTAAGTCCCATTGAGCACAATGGAGCTTACCTACAGATGAGGGGGAATAGGATTGCAAAGACACCCCCCCCCCCCGATCATTCAGAGGGGCAGTAAAAAAAGACAATACTACAAGAAAAAGGGAAAGGTAGTTTGGCAGTTTGGGAACATTTTAGCTGTTGGATATATTATGTGAAAGCAAACTTTGGAAAGCATTATTGTCTCATGGGACAAATAATTTTTAAAAATGTAAGATTTGCTCTGTATGTTAATACATTTGCAAAACTAATTATTTTGCATATAAACACCAGAAACATATTTTAATTTGCTTATTAAGTGGGGATTGATTTACATAAATGGAGCTGTGAAATGCAAAATAACCTGCTAAATACTAAATATACAATCTATGTTTATAGTGTCACGTTTAACACAGATATTTTAAAAAGTGAAAGTATGTTGAGTAAGCGTCTCCTGGATATCTGATCCTGCCTGCTATTTTACAGACAAGTATTGGCACAGTACTGAAACGTTTTTACAGATAACATGTGAAACCACACTTTGAAACATTTCCAAATATGCCTTTTTTGCTGGCTCTGGCTTACTTTAGCTACTTACGCTGGACTGTCACAGTGTCTTATGGATGATGAGACTCCTCCCCCGCAGGTCCTGCTGCACTCTCCCCATATTGACCAGGGACCCCAACCCCCATCTATGCTCTGGGGCCAAGTGCCAAAAGGTACGCACTCTCCCTGATAACACCACTGAAAAGATTTCATAGAAAACACAGAATTAGCTTTCAACTGATAGAGTTATCAGGACAGAAAAAATATATGGGTCAGGCACCGACCAATTATAGGCATCAGCATTCCTTTTATAGATAACACAGAGATGTTTCACTTGCTTTAGCCATGTTTAGTCAATGGTAAAAGTCCAATGCTATTTGTTATTTATCTTTAGCTGAGCCTGAGTTATAAATCCCTAACACACATAAAAGTTTAACAAGACAGCATTTTACTTTTCATGCACAACCTTACCATCTCTCAATATAAATTGCAACTCACTGAAAGTCTTCTTTAGATACTAGAGATAATTCTAAGGGAAAAAAATGATGCACCTATACTCGGACAGCACAACATGGAAAATTCTCCATTTTTATGAGGGTTATTGCTTTGCCTTTAAAAATTCTAAACCATGGATGATGTTACAATGGTGGAAGAATGTGAACCAGTATTTCATCTATACTTACATGGCAGACATAATTAAAATAATACCAAAACACTAAAAACAAACAAGCAAACAAAAATCTTAACATTCACTAACAAGACATTTAGAGACCAAATGAGCATATGGAATGAAATATTTGAACAGACAAACAGCTAAGTGTTAAACTTGGCATTACTTTGATGGTGCAGCATCAAGTTCGGAAGAAACAATTAACTATATTAAATACATAACTTGAGTTGGAATACTTTATTCATATCAAATTATGCCAAATCCTGCAATTCTAATTTAAGATCAAATTTGGCTGTCCTGTTTTACTATAGAAATGTGAAAAGAATGCTGCACAAATTGAAACAAACAGTTTGTCCTATCAAAATAACATACCAAGTTAATCTAAAAAGAATGTTTACCTGTTCTGAGTTGGATCCAGGCTCGGATATGCTTGGGATTGACTCACTGATTTCAACATCCCATTGATTTCAACTCTAAGCATGTCAATGTCCAGATCCAAGTCTGCAGTTACGGCACATAACACCACCATACTATCTTTAATAGGGGTAAAGGGGGCAGTGGATACAAGAATATTGCCTGAACTGTTTGGGTTCAGATTCGTAACAATCCTATGTGTCTATTCAAATAGCCCCATTTCCCATTAATGGAATTTATTTCCACAGAAGCATGTGCATAATTGCAACCTAAGCTAGCTGAGTAACATTATTCAGGATGTGACTTAAACACCATTGATTTCAATAAAAACTAAATTCAGCTAACTTAGGCTGTGATCCTAATCTCACTTATTAGAAAGTAGGTCCTATCAGATACAATGGAATTGTTGAGGACTGCATTGTCTGTCTGGATCCAAAAGAGATTCATTAACAGAAGTTGCTTATGACAGTGAAAAGGAATATTGCTTACCCATCGTTGCAATAAGCTATATTATATGTCTTTGTAGGTATATGCATAATATATAAAAGCAATGGTAGCAGCCAGGTTTCAAGTAATACTGTGTGCTGATGAAGAAGCTATGTACTGCAGAACATTTAATCACTTCAGTTTATTTCACTTTCCAGTTTATATTTCTGAAACAATTAGAACTCTAACAAAATAGAAAGAATTTTGAGGTAATGCTTCTGTCTAGTATTATTAATCACACTACCTGAAACTATTAGTACACACTTTTATGGCATGCAGTGAGTATCTTTACTTTGGATACTGTATTTGGATATGAAACCTCTAGCAATGCTGCATGAGGCATGTCATCAGATATGGCAGTACTGGATACATCTAAATATTGACAGAAGATTACCTTTCCTGGTCAACTTGGACAGTCAAGTGCATATTGGTGCAGAAGGAAAAGAGGGCCACACAAAAACAAAGTAGGGGGTTCCACATACTTGAAGACACACTATGCATGAATTAAGTTCAAAAATGAAAAAGAAAAGGCTTTTAGAAAACCAAACAGTCCTGTGAATATCTATACTGAAAATGTGGGAGGGGAAGAAAAAGAAAGTGGAAGGTAAGAGATGGCATTGGCCTGCTTGAGTCCATAACAGCTAGCAGCAGATACTCTTGGTCTGCACCCAGCACAGCCAATGGTGAGGGATAAATGGAACTGCAATTCAACTACTTCTGGTGGTCAACAAGTTGCCTACCCCTACATTATAGTATCCCAGACATAAGGTCAGAGTTGGAAAAAGAGCACAAAGTTAAAAAATTGTTTTCCTCATACAATATTCCATCCCAAGGATGACAGACAGGTTCAGAGCCGGCAACTAATTTCAATCCTGAACCCTTTTGATCCTGAACCCTTCAGCACTATATAGCATAGTAAGAGGTTAGGGAAATTTCCTCAGTATTAGACCAACATTTTATCCACCATATAACACTGTTTCTTGCATGAAATACATTATATGACATATAATGTATAAAAACATACTGACAGCATGATACTCAATTGTTCTTCATAGAGAATAAGGGAAAGAAATAATGAAAGAGAAGCTCATCATTAATGTGAAGCTTTAAAGAGAAAAAAACCATTCTAACCAAATACTGAATGGCACCAGCTAATAAAAGAAACTTCTAAATACAGTCAAACGCAGTGTCTTGGATAAATATTCACACTTCTTTGACTTTTCACATTTTGTTGTGTTACAACATGAAACTGAAATGACTTAATTGCCATTGTAACCACCTGATGTACACAAGATACTCGACAGTGTGAAAGTGCAAAAATATTTTTATTTTGGCATAAAGTTAAATAAACAAAAACAAAACTGGCACTTCTTAATTGCATAAGTGTGAACCCTGAATCAACAATTAATAGAAGTACTTTTGGCAGCAGTGACAGCTCTGAGCTTTGGCCCATTCCAACACATTTGTTCTTGATTTTAACCACTCCAGTGTTATTAGCTGTGCTGCTGGGATCATAGTCCTGGTGGAAGGTGAACCTCGGCCTCAGTCACTGTTCTCTTGTATATTGAAACAGGCTTTTCTCTAGAATGTCCTGTAACTGGTTCTATCCGAATTAACACTCAAACCTGAGCAGTTCATAGTCCCTGTCAGAGAAAAGCATGCCTACAACATGATATTGCCACCTCTATGCTTCACTATGGGCATGATATTCTCAGGGATCTGCAGTCTGTGGGTCTCAGGGCTATGTGGTATTCTCACACAGCATCCTGTGCAAGGCAAGGTGAGGAGTTCAGTTTTGGGCTCATCAGATCCTTTTACTACATGATTGTTGTTATCTTCCTCATGCCTTTTTGAAAGCTCTAACTGGGTTTTGATATGTGGTTGTTTCAACAATGTCATTCTTGCCACTGTTCCATAAAGTCCGGCTTTGTGGAACATTCAGGTGAACATCATCCCATGGCTTTACACATTTCAACCACAGATGTCTCCGACTCCTTCAGAGTTACCATTGGCCTCTTGGCTGTTTCTTTAATTCCCTCCAAGCATGGGCACTAAGTTTGTTAGACAACCTTCTCTAGGCTCCTAGCGGTTTCATGTAGATGTTAATAACTTGGGGGATGAAATAGAGCCCTGTGGTACTCCATGGCATAGCTGCCATGGCGCAGAGCTATAGTCCCCCAGCACCACCTTCTAGAATTGACCAGCCAGATAAGAGCAGAACCACTGCCAAGCAGAACCCCCAACTCCTAGCCCAGCCAGCCTATCCAGAAGGATACAATGGTCAATTGTATCAAAAGCCACTCCTCATGTCCCTCCCCCCTGCATAGGTCATCATACAGGGTGAACAAAGCAGATTCAGTACCATAACAAGGTCTGAAACTGGGCTGAAATGGGTCCAGATAATCCGTTTCATCCAAGCATGCCTGAAGTTATCCCACCACCACCCACTCTAACACCTTGCCCAAAAATGGGATGTTGGCCACCAGTGTATAATTGGCTGGGTCCAGGGATGTCTTCAGGATGGGCTTGATCACTGCCTTCTTTAAAGGGACAGGGACCCGGCCCTCCTTCAGTGAGGCATTGTTAAATTCCTGGACCAAGGGACCAATCCCATGACTGGCTTTCGTAAGTAGCCAAGAAGGGCAAGGGTTGAGTAAACAGGTGGTTGGGCATACAATCCCAAGCAATTTGTCCACATCCTCAGGCCGCAGTAACTGAAACTCATCCAACAATGATGGATCAGACGGCGCTCTGGATGCCTCTTGTTCTGGAATCATATCAACTGTGGAGTCCGGCTTGTGGCGAATTTGAGCAACTTTCTCCTTAAAGTGCTGGGCAAAGTCATCACAATGGGCAGTTGAGGCTAGCACCACATCTTTGTTTTGGCCAGCATGTGTTAGGCCATGCACCACTCGAAAAAGTTCCGTTGAATGGCACTGTGAGGAGGCAGTGGAAGTGGAGAAATATTGTCTCTTTGCTGCCCTCACTGCCACAGCATAGGCTCGATAGTGAGCACGTAAGTGTGCTCGGTCAGATTTGTCCCTTGATTTTTTGCTCCTGTGCTCTAATCATTTCCCAGTCTGCTTCATTACCCGCAACTCAGGAGTATACCATGTCGAGTGGGCTCTGTTACCAGGAGAAGACGCTTAGGAGCGATTGTGTCAATTGCCCTGGTCATTTCCCCATTCCACAAATCGACCAGGACATCAACAGGAACACCAGCTTTACCCACCGGAAAATCCTCCATAGCTCTCAGGAATCCATCAGGATCCATAAGACTACAGGGGCAGACCATCTTAATAAAGTCTGCACCCTTCCAGAGGGAGAGATCAGCCATGACCTTGAACCTCACGAGAAAGTGATCTGACCATGACAAAGGAGTTAAGGTCAAATTCCTTACTTCTAGATCACCCTTTTCTGCCTTGTCAAGAAAACCAGGTCCAGAGTGTGACCTCTTTCATAGGTTGGGTCAGTGACAAGTGGAGACAGCCCCATGGCTGCCATGAAGTCCTGAGCCGCCCTGGACAGAACAGCCGTGGCATGGAAATTGAGGACCAACATCCTGAGGGTCCTCAAAACCAGGTCTGAGACGATATTCGTCAGCTCAGACAGGGAGTCTGATGGGCAG